CACGAAAGCCCTCCGGAACTCCCTCACAGAGTTCGGACCTTTGCCTTCCAGTTTCACCTCAGCAACGTCACCTCGCCTCGCTTCGCTCGGCTCGGCTCCCCCCAACCCTAAACCCTAAGGGGCCCAAATGCCAATTTTTTCTCTTTTCAAACGGTAGCTCCTATTTTGCAGGCCTAGGTCTAGTAGCTTCTATCAGGGCCATCAGGGCCTGTCTGGGTAACTCATACTTTGCTGTCTGCCCAGTATTTGTCTCTGTTTGCCCTTATTATGTGTCAACTTAATTTGACGCATGATATTGCATGCCACTGCACAATTGGGTTATTAACACAATACTGTTTCACCACACAGCATTGCTTTATATGAGTGTCTACAATATAATGTTTTTCCTGATCGCGCGCCGCTGCACGATCGGGTTTTTAACACAATACTGTTTTATCACATGGTATTGCCTCATATGAGTGTCTACAATATGATGTTTTTCCTGATCGCGCGCTGCTGCACGATCGGGTTTTTAACACAATACTCTTTCATCACATGGTATTGCTCTATATGAGTGTCTACAATATGATGTTTTGCCTGATCGCGCGCTGCTGCACGATCGGGTTTTTAACACATTACTGTTTCATTACACAGTATTGCTTCATATGGGTATCTACAATATGATGTCTTTCCTGATCGCGCGCCACTGTGCGATCGGGTATTTTTCTTGTTGGCCACTGAATATTGCCATTTGACAGTATTTACATCTGAAAGTGCTCTCCAGAGTGCATTTTACTCTTTTCACAGTGCTTGCAGATTTTTAATCACACAACCCACATTTTAACCACCAACCCCCCTCCAAAAGAAGAGTAGAATACTTCTTGAGGCTGTTGAACCTAAATGGATTGTATCTATTTCTGAGAAGTCTTCAGAGAAAACTGGAGAATCTGGATCTTTATTTTTCCCAGGCAACATAAGCCTTTAGTTAGTAAGGAAACCGGTTAGTAGGTGTGGTTCATTCCCCCTCGCGGTGGGCTCCACAGATGTCATAAAGAAAAGGTTAGGATAAGAAAAGTAAGTAAAATAAAAATGAGGTTTGGTATAAAGACGATTCTAGGAGAAATCCTAGAAGGTTACTTTTTCATAAAAGAGAATGGAGTTTGGTCTGTTCTAAACTAAAAGCAAGAAGGGTATAGTATGGAATACTTAGATTTGGTTTTCCCAATCTTTTCTTTCCAGGGTTCACTGGGTTAGCCTTTCAACCAAGCTATCCTGGTGTTCGTGGAGGACTAATTCAAGAACCACCTACTAATCTGCTTAAGTACTCTAAAGCCTCACTTGCCTGTTTACAAGGGACTTTTTAAGGAATCTTAGAAGATGGGCTGTAAGAAGGTTTGGTTAGTAGCTTAAGGACTAGCTATCTGGGTTAGTAGAATAGAGTTTTTAGATAAGTAAGAAAAGAGGGTAATAAAGACAAGTTAATGTCTTGGTTAACTTAGTAAGCTTTGGCTAGTAAGAACAATTTAATGTTCTTAGAGGATTTGTATAACTTGAAGCAGTCTGAAGCTTCCAATTTAGAGTTGAAGATCAAAAATAAATTTAATCTCTTTACTGCTAGTTTAATTACTGTAAGCTCTACAGGAGACGTACCACAGTCTCAAATAATGACGCCACTAGCTCTCGCAGTCTAGGGTTAGTCAAATAGTGAACTCGTGCACTATACCAAGGGTGTTTCCCTTCAGGTTATTTGAAAGTCAGAGGCTCTACTGTGCTTAAGGAATTTCCTAGGCTTTAAAGAAAGGAGTCTATTCTCTGAGAGCTAAAGAGCTCAGGGGATTAACTGCAGGTTTGCTGCTAGCTAAATCCTTGAGAGTGTGTGTGGTGCTTGGTGGGTTTGTGGGTTCGTGTCTTTTTGCTCTCAGAGAACCTCTCCTATTTATACCTTTCAGCCTGTTGTTCCTTAGCCAATAGCAAAACTGGCTCGTCTATTCTACTGTAATTACTAAGCTACTTCTACTTTTATTAATAAGCATTTTGTCTGTATTAGTCAGCCTTCTGTCTGTTTTACTAATGTATTGGTAAGCTATTACTAATGTTTGTTAGAGTATTACTATATTTTGGTAATTCATAGCTATTGAGCATAGACTTTTACTAAGCATAGTTTCTAAATTACTAAGAAGCTAAGTCATATTATTAGTCATTGATTCACTTTTAGTAAGCTTGAGTGTTTATGCTTACTTTGCAGCTCTGAGTAAGCAGTTTCTTTTTAATTTGAATACCTATTATTCCTTTAGTTTTCCTATACTTATAGTTAGGGTGCATGACAGCGTACTCCATCCGTGGGACCTTGGTTGAATTTCTGCAGGAGGCTACTACATACTAGAGAACATGAATGTTGTGCTTTCACGCTAGTTTCTGGGCTGCAAATGGTATGCAACGGCACCCAGAGTGTTCACCTGGTAAAGAGCCAGGAATGCCTGGGAATGCTAGGTGTGAGTTCTGCAAGAAAATAACATCAGCATGTAGTACATACATTTACTGAGGCTGCAACTACCTGCAGCCTTGCATCTCACTCTTTCCTGCTGTGCCCTTGCCTCCTACATCCCAATCACCCAGTACTCTTCCTCTCCCTTGTGCATGTCCAGAATGTCATCCAGAGGTCATATATTGATCTTGTAAGGCAGGTAGAGGTGTGTGGGGAGGAGGAGGAAGTGTGGTAGGAAAGAGCAGGGTGACAGTGGTAGAGGAAGAAGTCATGTGATGCCTCGAGCACCCTAGTGGGTCGCCACCACCACTGCAACTATCACACCACCAAAAATAATATCAAGCTAGTATGCAAGCTGGGCTTTGAGATTGCTGTGAACATCAGGCAACTAGTATTTATTAAGCACGAAATCACTCCAGTAGCCACTATACTTGTCATACATCCAGCTCCTACTCTTTACGCTCATCCACAAGATCATCTGGATATAGCTACAAAAGTATCAGTATGCATTTATCATGCACAAAGGTTGAAGCATACCTTTCCTGGATTAAACAAGTTGTGTGGATCAAGTGTGTGCTTAATTGTCTTCATAAGCCCAACAGTGCCTGCACCAAGTTCCTCGTGTAGATACTTGCGTTTACCCATCCCAACACCATGCTCTCCTGTACCTGGCAGATAATAAGATTGTTAGTAAGCCTGTTTAATAGTACACAAGCAGAAAAGACAAACATGTGCCGTCAAGTTGGATTGCACGCTTAACCATCCTGTGCACAAGTCCGCGCACGACAGCCAGCTCCTCGTCAGTTCTGAATAGCAGCACTGCGTGGAAGTTGCCTTATCACCCATACATATAACGAACAGCCAAAAGAAACGAATCAGCGGTACAGCAATCAGTACTGAGCATCTATAAATGCAAGACACGCACACACCATCACCAGCATGCCCAATGATTGTGCTCACAATCCCACTGCTCTCGATGTCTTGTTTGGTTTCGTACACAAGCTGCGGAAGTTTACTGACAGGTACACTTATGACAAGTATTCGTCAGCATCACCAAGATGTCATGCACCGCAGCAGGTACTGCATAGCAGCGGGACGCACCAGACATCGGTGCTCCAAGCCCTACTCCCCTCAACCAGTGCCAGCGCAGAATATAACGCATTCTTCCGATCTGCCCAAAGTGCGTCTGCCTCGGCCTTTGATTCCGCGCATGTGAAGCTTGTCCCACCGTGCGAGGTACAGATCTGTCGGTTCACGGGTAAGCATCTCGGTTGCCAGCATACCTCCGATGGCTAAAACATGCAAGCTCTAGCGTGAGGATGAATTGGACGCACCTTCTCGACAACGATACTTCCCTCTTTCATGATTGACGGCGTCGACCCTTGCAACTTGATAAATAGCGAGTCTTTTTCAGGCCACTTGCGTGTACTCTGGCCGTAGAGGTTCGACGAGCGCATGAATGCATCATCGCAGAGCTCCACGCACTCTGCGATATCAAGCGCGGCGAGTTTTTAGTACGTTAGGTTGTGCCGTCGCAGGGTATGTGAGACGCAATCGCGGGGCCAGGCAGGGGTTGAGTTGGATAAATGATTGTCAGACAGCACGAAGAAACTGCAAAATAAACGACGCACGTATTCCAACCCCACTATTAACAATCTCCCTTGCCGCTTCGGATGCGGCACGGACGTCGGGGAATTGAACGACGGCAACTGTTGTCGGGAGGACGGGTGCAAGACGGAGAGTCGCTGAACACGTAGTCAGCCCAAGATACCAAAAGGTCAAAGCAACCGGCGAAGGGTAAATTCGCTTGGCCGGCCGGTAGCGTCGTCATGCCGCGCTACATGGGTGGACAGGTTATAAATTGGACCGATGCACGCACCTTCCGTGATGATCCCCAATGTACCCTCAGCTCCAATGAACAGCTTTGTTGTGTCGAAGCCTGCGCTACTCTTTCGCGAACGCCGTCGTGTCTTAATGACCTCGCCTGAGGGTAACACGACCGTCTTTGGTCGTGACGTTGAGCCGAATCGATCGAGTGCGTTGACATCCGTGCAGACGTTCAAAGTTTGGGAGCCAAAGGAGTCGGTGGTTTAAGGAGATACGAGTAGTCAGGGGAGATGTGAAGACAGGGATAGACATGGCGTACAATATTTAGAAACCATTCGCCCTTTGAGGTACCATACCGCACCGCGTTTGCTGCAAGAGAGGTGCGCTGTCAGCATCACGGCTCCTATACTTTAGTCCGGGGAGCGTACTGCCCGAGCATCCTGTACTGATCATCCCGCCGATGGACGCACCCGGTGCAGGATCGATCTGCGAGGGGGAAGGTTGTGTTAGGTGGCCACGCTGATTTAACCAACGGCGGACGTACGGGAAAGAAAAGCGGGATTCCACGTCGCTTCAGTTCAGCGTTGATCTCTATCCATCCTATGCCGGGCTGGCAGACAAGATCTGAGTCCTCCTCTGTGTCGCCATACCGCCGGAGTGGTAAGCACGAGGCATGTGGGCAAGGAAGAGCATGTAGCGGGGAGGTACAGAATAGAACGATCATGCAAACCGGTCAGTCCCACGACTCGTGTAAGGGACGCTTTGCACTCGCCGTGTATCTCAAGAATCTTGTCCATATCCCGCATGTCGACACAAATAGCTCCTCCAGGCGGCGCGCGCCAGTGACCCTCGATGGACGTGCCACCGCCATAGGTGACAATAGGCACAAGATGCTTGTTTGCGATCTTGACAATTGCGACGACGTCGGCAGTGGAGCCAGGGAAAACGACGACAGTAGGATCCGAGCTTGGATGGTAGTCGTTCTCGCTGTAGCCGTGCGCATGCAACACCTCGGGGTCGGTCGAGACTCTTTCGAGCGTGTCGTCCGTGTCGTTCAGCACTACGCGTAGCTCCTTTGCAAGGGTAGCCGCATCAACTTTGGTCTCCTGTGCGAGCTGGCTGCGGTTGGATGCAGCGACTGTGCCGGCGTGCACTTTGCTGGTCGTCGGTTGGACCGTCGAGTCGGCGTGCGTCGGACGCGCGAAGAAGAACGCGGACGTAAGTAGGACACCCGCGCCCAAACCCAAGGCAGCATATCCCAGACCTGTTGGAGGCCGCGCAGAGGTGCTCGCGAGGCGCGCCGTCCGCGGTTGCAAAGTGCGTACGAGACGTGTGCGCAGCATTCCACAGGCCAAGCTTCGTGTCGACGTCGCCGTTGAGGATGAAAGAGTTCGTCTAGATGCCGCTTCATCCCCTTTTTGGCGGGGATCGGAGCAGGCAGGGCCGTCATGCCCCCGCGTGAGTACACGCTGAGAGCGCGCCTTCGCAGCTGACGTCGCTAGCAGCGCATCCCGCGCGGGCCCGCGGACTCTGGAAGGGACGGCGGGGTCATCACGTGTCAGCCTTCGTGGCGTCAATGACTTAAGACCGGTGTTGTAGTATTTGAGGTGCGAGGCGCACTGAGCTGCCGGATGCGCATCAGCCGCGCCGCACCGAGACACCGACATGATGCGCTCACCGCGTCATGCCATATTTGGATATGGCTTTCCCGTTTTAGATATGACGCGCGCAGAGCACTCTCGGCTCTGGCGCCGGTTCATTCCCCGCCGCGTTTCTCAGCTTCCTCAGCGTACTAAGTAGTGAACTGTGTATATTAGGAAGTAGATAACATATATAAGAACACGATGTATTATCCTAGAAATTTACCGTCGATTACTCGTGAATCCCCTGCCTGCGCGATTCAATTCACAACAACCGGTACCTCTGAGGCAGTGATGTGCAAGACGGCGATTAAACGTTCTGGACGGCGTTTGGACGAGAAAGCGTCCAAACGTCGTCCAAACGTCGATGGTTGAATTGATGCATCGGCATCCTTCCCCTTTTTGGCGGGGGTAGCCGCCAGGCCCAGCAGCCGGCTGGAAACAGAGCAAAGCAAAGCCACGGTAAGATACATTATGAGCGTAGAGACATTGTAAGAGAATGAACTATTATAGTACTGAGGGTCCTTGAATGAGGGATTTATGACATCAGAAGGCTCAATAGGATAGCAGAAGGACAGTACACTTTGTGACTATTCTCTGCGCCAGCTGTACACATCACATGTCAAAACAGGTGATATAGGCTTACTGAGGAATAATGTTTGACGGGGACCGTTACCATGTCGCTGCATGTTGTCACTTGTATCCGGAAGGACTGGCAGAATTCATCGCCGGTCCTACCGAGGCGGCTGTCGAGCGCAAGACGGACATTGCTGTGAATATGCTGGTAAAATAGTGGTCAACATGACTGTGCGGAATGCACCTATTGGTGTTTGGCTAAGTATTTACTCCCTTATCTGTCGGGGAGGGTTGCGCCGTGCAGCGGTGCGTATGTGTACGAGCTGTGCACAAACGTCGATGGTGCGGGCAACAATGAGATAAGGAACATACCTGAGACATCTGGAAGTAAGATCTTTTTGGGCAGGTCCATGGCGTAGTATCTCTGCTGCTGTACCTGAGAGCTTTGCTGTCTGGTCTTGGAGACTCATTAAGATCTCGCCTCCTTGTCGCGCAAGCAAGGCTCTACTGCACGGTCGGCTCATATGGTGAGACATCAGCATTTTATATGCTGCACTTTCCTATATTTTTTGTGATTCTCTGTGCCGATCTCATTGCCATTGCAGAACAAAATCTTTTCCGTCTGCTTAGGACGACGACAAGCCTGGCGCTCCCACAGGGCAGCGGTGATCTCCGAACGATTTCTGATTGGCTACTATATGGACGTCGAGCCATGAGAATAGCGACCACTTTGATTGATCGCCGTCCAAACAGTGTTTAACCATTAAGTCGTCGTCTCGTCCCAATATTTGGACGGACGTCCGCACATCACTGGTACATCCACAAGAGTCACAACAAAGCGAACGCGAATACATATCTTACGGGAGATGAATATGCAGACACTAGTGAAAATGAAAAAGGCAGGTATTCCAGCGACTCCAACATTGCATTATTCTGTATCATAGTAGTGAATCCAGCTTTGAGAGTACCTCCAACACACCCGCGACCAGCTCGAAGCAGAGGTCCTCATCACTAAACATTTCCTTCTTGACTTCTTGAACAAGGCCTAAGATGGCTTCGCGTCCGCTGCCAACGCTACCTATGCCGATACGCTGCGCAGCGCGGCGGCCGTTCGCACGCACGCTGTTTCCGTTCGGCGAGCTAGACGCTGAGCCGAATGGCCAGGCAGCGAACTCCTGGATAAGGTCTTCACAACGCTGAAACGCGGCCTCGCGCTCCTCATACGTGAGGCGGCTGAATGCGTTGTCGAGTACACTCGCGGCGTAGGCGGCGGCGGCGAGACAGACGGCGCGCATTGCGCGGGCCTGGGTACCTTCCTTGTCTAGCGCGCTAGGCGGGACGGCAGAGGTGGTACTTGTGAGGAGTGAGGTGACACGGATGATGACCGCTTCTTTGGTGCGAACGTCCGCGACAGGGTGGGTGGCCATATCGAAGAGAATAAAGTTACGCTTCTCGGTGCGCAGGACGCCTTTGTCAACAAGCCCTTTTGCAAGCCGTTCGCGAACCTGCTTCAGTTGGAAGCCGATCTTCATGACGTTCCATGTCTCTCCTGATTAGCAGAAGCATGGATCAGCCCAACATTCGCGCATAAAGTAACGCCTAGAGTTACGGCGCGACGGAATGGGTGGGATAGGGTGCAGATGAAAGTAGTGAATTTCTACGCACCGCTGAGAAGGTCTATCCAGGTATTTACCGCCATGCGCTCGCCTGTGGTTTCTGTCTGCTTCATCATCTTAAGTGCCTCGTCCAGGATTGTCTCGCCCGTTAGTCGGGTATCAATGACTTCTACGATTCGCTCCGAGGGTGGGAGGGAGCGGCGTGCTGGATCCTTGACAAGTGCAATACGTCTTCGGAGCGCGAGTTCGATGAGGATGCACCCTCGCAAAGCGTATGAGATGTTGTCGTTCCAAAACGAAAGGTAGCCCTGGTGAAGAGTGCAATCAGCAAGACATGGACGGAGACGAACATAGGAGAGATAAGAAAGGCGATAGTGCGTATTCCGTACATAAAATCCCCAATACGTTGCGGATACGAGCGGGGCACGCGCGACAAAGTGGGTTCGTAGCTTGCATAGCGATGTCCGAGCGCTCTCCAGCAGGTAGCGTACAAGGCACACTCCCGCTGTGATAGAGGATGGCACCAGCGCCGTAGACGCCGTATTTGTTGAGGTTAAAGAAAATATGTCTCGTGATGTGTGAAGAAAGCCGTTCTGGATGCCATTCATGATGCCAAAGCGTGCATTGCGGGATGACAGCCGAATGAGAGCCAAACCGACCACCATCCGACGAGATACGAGAACTGTGCAGGTTCACCGTAAGTCGCTGCTGGCATCGTCGTAGCCGGGCATGCCAACCCGGCACAGGGCATGACGTGCCAAATTATCACCACAGCGAGGCAGCAAAGCTGCTTGTCCTTGCAACACGGTAACCCCACCCGAAGGGGACGTACAAGAGTCCTGATTTGTGCGAAAGCGCGGTCGGACGAGTCCACGGCTCCTACGCATCAAACGCCGAGCGCATGTCCCCTCGCCGAGAGACATGAGGTTCCAGAAAAGCACCTAGGATACGAAAGAGTTGTAGAGTTGACAAAGCTGACTTGCCTGTTTGTCTTTGAGACCTAACAGCAAGACCTCCTCCATGATCGTGAGCCTCGGTGCTCTGCCCCCTTGCTTCGCATCCTCCTCGTCCTGGTTGATGAGATCTCGTGGGTCGAAGGCAATCTTGCTACCGCCTTCGAATGCGGATCCTGCATGTGAGCTGGACGCATGTATGGGCCCGGATGCACTCGAGGAAGGAGTGGGCTTGCTGGTGGTCGCGTCATCGTTGAGGCCCCATGCGTCGTCGTCGTCGTCGGCTTGAGAGGAAGTATTCGCTACGCGCCGCCGTTGGAGACCACCAGCAGATGACATAGCACGACCGTCGATGCGGTGTGGTGGGATGGGGAGTGAGAGACTGTATGGGGGACGAGGATCATGGTGTGATGCGCATCTGGCTGCGGAGGGCGCTCGTGACGGCCTTGACTGAAGTTTGCTCCCGACGACCACCACGACCGCGGGCACGATGTTCGCATCGTCAGCGAGCACTGTTTCGTTCTACTATCACCGATGCTTTCCCCCAGCGTACCACTGCTAGCTTTTGCTTGTTCATTGCAGGCGCCTGCAATGACCGAATATCTTGCGACGTCTCAGGCTTCATGCCTTTAGGTCCCAAATGTGCATGCGTGCACCCTGGATATAGCTAAATCCTGGAAAACCTCGAATGCAATACAGCTATCGTACAGAACCTCCTCCTCGGTCTGTCACACCTCGTTCTCACCCATAATTCTGCTCTGACGCAACCGCCTGATGAAGGACGTGTCGCCGGTCTTCGTACGCTCAGCCTCTAGCCTCAAGTTGGGCTTTGGACCCCACCCTATCGCTCTTCGGACCTCTTCCCTCCAGGATACGCTGGAATCTGTCTCAAGTGGCCCCAAGGTTCATGCAGCCATATCGACTAGCTCCACCGAACCATCCAGCCCGCAAGGCGTCTCCATCAGAGCATTAATTACGGCGTGTCTTCGCACCGTTTTCAAGCAGTGCACATTTCAGTAGTCTTGCTGTTGTGATGCATATTCCCTCGTATGTCCTAACGTACTGCTTATACGAATCTTCCTGAAGAATATGTCTCGCACGCTCTGATGACCTGCGCCCAACGTTCAACGCTGCCTTCGGAACTCTTAACTTTGTGGTGAGGCTCTCAGTAAGCTTGTCTCAAGTCGGGGCGCAACCACCAAATCCATACAATTCCTTATCGCTGGAGAATGTGCGCGACCTCGTGCTCCTAGATCACCATCCTTCACGCGATTTCCCGTTTGTGATGTCGTTCGATGGCGTTTTGCCAAAGTGACCCGTCAGAGAAGTCAGTATGTTAGACGTTTGCACATGATGCTAGCTCATTCTCTAATGATAGAACACCTTAGTAATTGCAGTTTCCTTGCCAAGCTTCGATGCATCACCTACCCTTGTTGCCCCACTCGCAATGCCAAGCGGCTCCGAAGCGTCGTCTACGTGCGTCCACTATTATCTATCAGCAACGTCGACTTCTCGGACGTCGGCACCGAGTCTTCCATGTGGCGATTATCTGCATCTCTTACATCGGTGCATGTGATAGAGATCAACCATATTCTTCGTGCGCATCACAGTGTGGCTCGGGTTCTCGGCAGGCCGGTCAGGTGGCGGGGGTTGCGTCGTTCTTTCAGGCTAAAATGATACCTTGAAGGCAGTCGAAAGCATATGCTGCAGACATGAAGAAGCAAGAGGACCATCTGGTTAATGATACGCATGAACGGTCTCAGCACAGCACGGATGTCTTTGTCGAGTCTATAAAGCTTTAGAGCAAGCACAGTCGAGCTTCAGCCCCAGGTCTCTCGACTCCGCAGCCAACGAACCAGGCCCCAGACTCGACACCTCAGCTTTTAACACCCTCGCGATGTTCGTCTCCACCCTCTTCGTTCAGGCTCTCCTCGCCGCTGCCGTCTTCGCGCTGCCTTCCTCCAAGGAGCGCCACGATACCCGGATTGCCCGTCGTGCTGGCGGCCAGCGCTCGTCCCACCCGAGGATCACCAACGAGACTAATGTCGAGTACAGCTCGAACTGGGCCGGCGCCGTCTGGAACTCGCCCCAGGTGCGTTCAGTCGTTTGCACACATGGTGCGGGGTATGCTGATGGGCTTTCACACAGGGCACGTACAAGAGCGTCACCGCGACGTTCACGGTCCCGACCCCGAAGGAGCCCTCGGGCTCGTCTGGCTCTCACGCCGCATCCGCTTGGGTCGGCATTGACGGCGACACCTGCGGCAACGCCATTCTCCAGACCGGTGTCGACTTCACTGTCAGCGGCAGTTCTGTCTCCTACGATGGTACGCTCAACTGTACCTCTCTCCCCCTTGGGCGTACGCTTAGCATCAGTCCCCTCTAGCCTGGTATGAGTGGTATCCCGACTACGCTTACGACTTCTCCGGCATCAGCTTCAGCGCGGGCGACAGCGTCACGCTGACCGTCACCGCGTCGAGTACGACGTCGGGCACGGCCGTCATCACGAACAACAGCAAGGGCAAGACCGTCACGCAGCACATCACTTCTTCTAGCGCTCTGTGCGAGCAGGACGCGGAGTGGATCGTCGAGGACTTTGAGGAGGGCAGCTCGCTCGTCCCCTTCGCCAACTTTGGCACCGTCACCTTCTCTGGCGCGTCTGCTGGGACCAGCTCGGGCTCCGTCGGCCCCTCGGGCGCAAACCTCATCGATATCCAGCAGGGCAACAGCGTGCTGACGTCCGTCTCGACCTCGGGATCGAGCGTCACCGTCTCCTACGTTTGAGGATGAAGAAGCCGCACCTGACTGCATAATAGTGGTAAAAAGAGGGTTGTAGGATGGACACGCGGAAGGATTTAGTTTTGTAAACACTGGTACTGTTGTATAACATTGCTCAAAGATGAATGTACGCTTGTATCCTGCTTACATCAGTTCCCTTGGCTTGGTTACATTCCAATGATTTAGGTGATAGACTCCATCAAGCGTCCGTAAATTGCCGGACTGCCAGCTGTACACGTTAAACATACTGAGGCGACAGTACAAACGGCAAGCGCCGACTCTCAAGCACTACGCATATTCCACGGCAAGGACTAATCCCATCCATACTCTGTCGACTGGCCGTAAGTGGGCTCTGTCAGAGTGGGGAGGCTTGCACGGTGCGCGAACTGGGGAGTGAATGACGGACTAGCGGGAACCTGTCCAAAGGCTCGTGCAGAGGGCGCGTCGGTGACCAAGGTAGGGGTGAATTCGCTTGCACCTGCGCGAAGGGTCGTACGTGCAGCAGCTGTAGATGGGCTTTTTGGTACTACTTCCGTCGCTGTGCGAGCCGCTTTGGCTTTTTTCCTCAATATTTTCTGCTCTTTTTTTAACCTGTCTAAGATCGACTCGGGATGGATTAGACTCGAATCCCTGGCGGGCGCGACGGTTGGAGACTCGGACGGGACGACGGGAGTAACAGGCTGAGCAGAAGCAAGGTTTGGGCTCCTTATTGGTGGGAGTCGAGCGACAGCAGCGTTCATTGTCGCCGGGGGCAGTGGCGGAGTGGTGCGATTGGTCGACTCTGTGCTGGAAACAGATGACCCGGCTGGAAGTAGCATCGATGTCCGTGCACGATCTTTCGCAAAAACGGCACGCGCGGGACGAGTAATAGACGGCTTTGAGGCAGACCTCCTCGGTGCCGCCACACTGTGCGAGGGAAGAAGCAGTGGTACAAAGCCTTCAGAAGGACCTGAAGTGCTACACACAGCCGGATTAGTTTATCGCAGTTCAGCTGAAGAGCCGCAAAAAGCACTTACATCTGGAACCTGTACAGCTCGCTAAGGACACTCTCGAGTCTGTCTCTCTTCTGCAACAGCTGAAACCGTTCCGCCGTCACCTGCTGATCTTCCGCGAGGTATATGCCGGCACGCTCGGTTGCCTGGTCGGTGCCTAATGACAGGCCTGCGATAAGCGATGGCTGGAGTTCTCGTTCGATGCTGCGTAGAAAGTCATGGTCCACGACTCGAGGTATGTTGTCAATAATGCGCTGTAACCAGTAGTTACTAACCGTAAAACAATGTGAGGTTTAGTGTCCCGCACCTTGTAGCAGACATGGAAGTACGCGGACGTTTCCGCCATAACAATGAGCTCTTGGTCGTATTCGTCTGGTCCATGCAACCTTGCAAGAACGTCCTCAGAGGCTGGGTACCCAAGCCGCGCTAGCAGCCCCAACGCCTCCTGCACCAGCTCGGGGTCTTGCTCCGTTTGATTTGGCTGGAGTACAAATAAGCGCACATCCTAGCACAAGCAATCGTCGTGTTCACCTTACGTGCGGCCTTGTAGTGTGCCAAATACTTGTCTCGATATGACGAGAAGTAATGGTCGTTGCTTGTGAACGGAGGGTACTCCAAGTCTAACATCCATCTTACCCTCTCGAGCGTCTTCGACTTGGCCTTCTCTATCTCCTCCTCAACAATCGTATGGACGTGGTCGAGCAACGGAGTCGCTTCAAAAGTGCCGAAATGCCTCTGAACGAGATCATAGAGTTCGTCCGTGGTTGCCTCGTAGACAGTCGTAAAACAGGTGTCGCAGTGGTCCTCCCAGGACTCAAATACCTTCTCAATCAGGGCGACTTTTGCAGAGAACGGGACGTTGTAGGGTAGTTGACGCGCCAAAGAACTTAAAAATATGGGTAAATATTAGACAGCGGAGAGCAGTGAAGGCTGACATGCCTTTCAATGTGCTTGCGAACGTCGTTCAAATACATCGGCATGGCATCTGACTCATGTTCATCGAGCTCGGACTCGCTATCTATAGAGGACTCGTAGTTCCGACGTGCATGAGGCAGCGAGCTGTCGTACGGCTTGAACTGAGGTGCAGTTCTCCGGATATCCCTCTTGAACGTTTTGTACGCGGGGCGGCACTTTTGTATCAGCCGCTCGTGTGATTCCGCGCCTCGAATCAATGACTGGACTTTGTCGCAAAAAGACGTGATCATTCGCAGGAGCTCGCTGGCGGGATTGTCCGACGGTGGTGGTGGTAAGGCGCTCAGCCGCTCTCGGACGGTGTCGAGCGACTCCTTGGCCTCCCTACGCAACTTTGGAAGCCTAGAGCAAGGAAGAGTCAGTACAACAGGTGATTGGCCGAAGGAAGAGCATACTCCTGATTGATGAGAGTCCCTAGGAGATTGCTGAGCTCTTTCGTGAGATTCGGAGTGCCCATGCGAGACTGTAGATCCGACCGTTTGTTCCAAGGGTAAGTCGTCTCGAAGAATCTGGCCTCGCGCCGTCTAGCTTCGGCGTGTGAGATTTCGCCCTCCAGCTCCTTAGGTGATGGATGCTTCGTGATAAAGTAGCCGTCTGCGGGACATTGTCGTCAGAATTATATTACGTGGAGCTTTGCACGGTACAACGTACGCCTCAACGAGTGGCTTGAACCTTCAAGAATGGTAAGCCAGCCGTCTTCCTCTCCATCCTGGATTAGATCAGCTTTGGTTAGGACGCCTGCAACGAAGATGTAGTGTCAAGGTGCAGAATGTGTAGGTGACACCGTACCGATAGTTCTATCGCCTTTCTCGTCAGAAAGCTTCGCCAGGCGAGCGGCACCTTGGTTACTCATGTCATCTGGACACTCATGTCAAGAAAGGTGACAAGAATTTCAGACATAGTGTCGCACCGCGCATGTTAATTGTCAGGAGAATGAGCGTGTTGCCCTTAATGTGCTCCTCCACCATATTTTTAATCGCCTCGATGTTGCTTTCGTCTTCGTCCTCCCCGACCATCGATATGATGCCTAAATACGTCAGAGAGGTCTCGTTCCAGCGTCAGTAAGGACCCACCAGGCAAGTCGATGAACGAAAGGTCGGGTAGATCTGGTCCTTGGAGGTCTAAACACACAACGTTACTCGAGAACTCCAGCTGTTCCTGGGAGATCTCTGGCTTCTCTCCGGGCTTCAATGATGTCGTATCAAAAATCTCAAAGGAACCCTTTGCTACCCCTGGGTTCAGGATGGCAAGCTGAGCTCGACGGATCATCTCCTCGAGCTCAGCCTTGTCATGAAGAACCGGGCCAAAGCGTTCTTCTTGGACAGGATAAATTTGTCGGCCATTGCCATCTACTTCGCGCCGTAGCAGAATCTGACATTGCCACGGCCTATCACTGTTCGTCAATCGACATTCCATTGGGCATCTATGAATGCAGTAAGCTTAGAAGGGGCCCGGGCTCCAAGATCCTACCAACCTTGTACAAGCCCGACCGGCGGCGCGAGGGACAGCTATCTAGAAGATGTTCAAAAAAAAATAGGTCGTTGAGATAAGTGGGCACTGACTCCGCTGATAGCTTCGACCAGAGAGCTCTGGGAATAAGGTCAGCCTTCCCCATCGTGCGCCGTGAACGACTACTCGCCCACCTTTCCGGCACTCTGGTTGCCTATCACTGCAATCCTCGGCAGGTCGAAGTCTGCTTCCGCTCTGCAGAATATCATTCAGCCAAGGATTCCAACAGAGAGGGTGCATAAAAACTAACCCCAGAGCCCGGAGGGAAGTGATTAGCTTGATCGTCTTCCGGGCATGCACTGCGAACTTCGACGCGGCGATGTCGGTTGAGCTATTGCCAGTATCTCCCATACTTGTATTGGGCATCGGCACCGAGAGTACGTCGTCGATGCTGGGTGCGGTGAGAAGTAAGAGCGGATTGAAGATCGCGGCGCGAATACAACAAACCCGGAGTACAAGAAGCACCTTTTCTAGCCTCGGAGACGCTCATACTTATCTTTGCCAACAGTTACGACTCCTAATCAACTAGCATTGATGCACATGTCGTTCTTGTACGAAGCTGCTCAGCATGTCACAGTGTACAGCGGGAGAAGAGGGGCCCCATTTCTACCAAAATCCCGACTGACAAGATCGATCTCCTCTGCAGTACAGCACCTCTCGACGGTTTCACACAATGACGTGAGCCGTGAGTTTCGAGGCCGTGGACTCAACAAGAAACATGGTGTTCGCCAACATAGCGGGCGAAAAGCTGGACATGCAACGATGTCGCAGTGACTTCGCTCTCGGAGATCGCGGGCCTGATGGCTTGCATTAGGTCGAAGTAGCGAAGTGCGCCCTAATCTGTAATGACGAAGACGTTTTAGGCGGAGAGCTGCAGACAAGATTAGAAATAAAATAAAACCCCGCGTAACTTTCCCCAATTTCGCTGACATAATCTCGATATCACAGTCGAGACGAAAGCAAGAATATTTGATCGACGACTCGATATTTGTTACTTAGAAACAACGAACTGTCCTTGTCCAAACAATCACTGCCTTGCTGCCAGGTGCTGGAAATCTAGGCGTCCCGGTCACCTGGCCGAACCTGTACGCCAACGTTGTGGTAAGTTCTCCGGCTCGCAGCGGCACGCTCCTCAAGCATCCTCGATACGACCATTCGATTCTTCATATTGTCGATGCTGCTAACGATTTTGGCCCAGCATTCCCCGTGTTCGTCACATCCGATATGGTTCGACGTGATCTGTGCGAAAGGGTACACATCCGCGCAGAAAGCGGCGACGCGCTGCGGGTCAGTAATATGTGACTGCCCGAGACAGAGTTCGCGCAGGTTCGATTCGGTCGGGAGTGGTGTAGGTGTGGGTACTTGTGACGTATAAATTGGTACAAATGTGTTTGTGATGGCTAACTCTCGCATCTGAGGGCAGTGCCGGGCAAAGCAGCTGAGGTCCTCGACTGCTACGGTTATACACGCCGGAACGTCCACAGGATAGAAGCTGCAATTGGAGCTAAGGTGCAATTTGCGAAGGCGCGGAAATGCAAGGGCGATGTCTTTCATGTTGTTCGCGGTTAGGCGCAGTGGAACATCCGCAAGATCGAGGCTTTCTAGACTGTGCAAGTCAAAGATAGATTCCAGCACAGACCCGTCAGCGGTCCAGTCAATCCAGATAGGATCGTCATGGTATATCATGCCGATTGAGAGATGCCGCAGGTCTTTAAACTTCGGAACGATGGGGAACATGGCGTAGAAGACGTCAGGGGTAAGCCCGTGATCAACGGTGTGAGCAGCAAAACGGATTTCCAGCGACTCCAGATAGAGCGGCGAGACGATGTGGAGGATCGATACTAGATAAGAGATCTCCTCGAGACCATATGTAACTTTCAAATGGCGAAGTGTCCGGAACGGCTGAGCGAGTTCGCGCATAATATTCGCGTAGTCAAGCTCTGCCACGCATATGGTGAGGGAGACGAGATTGGGCAATGAGGAAAGATGATGGAGACCGGCAGGGCTGTACGTCATGAACACGTGTAGCGCACGTATGGTTGAGAAGGAGGAGATGGCCTGTTCGAACTCTGGGATCTCAGACGCGTGGCCGGTGCGCTCGGCCTGTGAGGACCACCGGAAGTATAGCAGAGTCGCAGACACGGACGCCGTCAGCTCAGCAATATTTAATGAGTCTCCATCGTTGCGCTTTTGTATGGCCAGTTCTTGTAGCGGCGACTGTTTGAAAGATGCGAATCCATGGCCAATCTGGTGACCTCCAAGCACAGTTAGGCTATGGAGGTTGGGGAAGGCCGCTGTCCGAGAGTATAGATCTGCGAGGGTACGCAGGCAGCTCTCTGCTACGCCATATCCATGATAAAGGTCGACGAAGGAGACCGTGAGACGCCGGATACGCCCTGCATGATGTTCAAATCGGCGGCTTTCTGCAGCGGATGGACGCCGCTGGAAACTCTACATGCATATCGCAGTTAGTAGAGTATCCGGCCACCCATCAAACATTGTGTGCGTACAAGGGTACGGCCTTCTATCGAAAAAGAGACCGCGGGGGAAAGACATAGGAGAACGGGTCCCAAGCTCGGAACATCTCTCCAAATCGCATTCAAGGCTGGTTCGTAGAAAAATTGGCAAGAGAGAGCTAGGTTGACGAGCCCTCCATCTGCATGGTCAGCAATATTCTGCGCTATCTCAGAGATACACAAGCAGGCGTGCATAGCCGGTTACTGAACAAGATGTCGTGATGATAGCGGTTCTGGTGCGAGGCTGTACGGTGGGCGCTCTGCCAACGAAACACGCGCTTGATTCAGACTACGGCTCTAAGCTGCTTTCATCACGAAGCGAGATTTCAGTTAGGTGCCTGCCTCGTAGACAGTACACGACCAAGAGTCATGGCCACGATCAAGAAGATTATATAACGTGTGTGTTCACAATTGTATTACCAGGCTACCTTATTGGTAGTATGCGAAAGTCCGCGTCCGAAGGTCCAGTAAAAGACGAAATTACTGGACATTCACCTGAACTGTCGAATAGTCAAAGACATTGCTAAGCGTCGCCTACCAGGACTTCGTATTAGTACCAGCATAAGTTAATGGCCTTTTGAAGTACTTGCCCCGCCTTCCTGGAACTGGTGTGCAACCTGGATGATCGCCCCGCCAGACTGGAAACCTGGAAGCTGGATGGCGAAATCCTGGTAATGTCCCTTCTCCGGCGCAGACGAGTTGAACTGAGGGTTGAACGGCCCATTATAGAGCACCGTCGCCGGGCCCCACTGGTCGGGCTCGCTGCAGACGTCGAAGCAGTTGTTCATGGCGATGAGCACCGAGGTCTGCACAAGTGGGCCGAGGGATTGCTAGACGCAAAGGTAAATACGAGACAAATGGTAATCAGAGCAAGGTGATACATACGTCCTGCTCGAGCTCGACGATAATAGTGCCACTACCGGAGACTGTCTGGCCCGCGGTGGGTTCCTGAATGTGCAGGCGCTGGGCCAAGGCGCAGGCGGCAAGGGAAGCAAGAACGAAGAAGGCCTTCATAGTTGTAAAATAACGAGTGAGCGGGGCAGAGCGTTCGTAGCAGGAAATTCGAGAATGGGTTGCTGGGATATTTACGCGTCGGCCATGCGTCCCTTTATACGTCTGTCTACGGCCATGTTCGCCGACGATCGCTCGCTTGCCGAATACGCGATCGTGATCCGGCGGAGGCGCAGCTTACCAAACACCGATCCCGAAGGCGGGCACAACCTGAGGCGGGGGAGATGCAATCAGCGCCCATGGCACGAGCCGGGGCCCGTTTCACGAGTGTCCGGCCGCCGCTCACTCGTGTGGCAGGCGGCCATGTCTCTCCGCTACCGCACGTCGAGCGTGTCGCAAAAAGCTTGCGTTGAGATAAATAAGACACGGTTAAAGTGGGTAAATGCTGACCAAGTGAAGTCATCGTCGATACCAGCCTTCAGTTCAGTGAGGAACGTGCGTTCCGTGGACTGGCCCCAATAAGCTTTCTCGCCTATAGGACCGCTCTAGAAACAACTAAATCATAAACAGCCTTGAGTTACAATCATACCGCTCATCAGCGAACAGGTCTTCGTGAGGCGAGTTGCCGTCAGCAAGTATAACCGCTGGACAGGTACGACGGCCATTACAGGCCTGAGCGGGCTACTGAGACACGGATAATATAACTTAGGCGGCACGATGCGTGAAACAATCCACACCAAGCCCAGCTGTATGCCCACGGGACCCGCACAATCTAGCTTCAGAGTACATCAGAACGGCACTTGTACGACTGCAGTACAGAATCATACTCACTGTCAATGTCATAGGCTTCACCTTGCGAGCGATCAGCGAACTCCGCCCGGGCTCGTGCTGTTGTTCACAACGTGCCCGTCAGCTAAGATTGGCGTGAGTGAATAGAACAATGCTAGTACCTACAGGCTATAACGGCGTGCGCTGAAGGTCTCAGCACTGACGTCGTAACCAACAAGCGTCTTCTCAACGTCTTCGGGCAAGGCGCGGATCTCAAAAATCTCCAGATTCTCGTACCGCCGAAGACCTCGTTTGAGGGCTGTGCCGTCGCGCCCCACGTGCTCGTCTGCCATATACACGCGCAAGCCGCGTAGACTATCAGGCAACGCCGCGAGTATGTCGAGACAAAGGTCCCAATACGGTCCGGGGGCGGGCGGGACTGGTGCAGTGCGGAGCTCGAACGTCTCCAGGTGCATTCGCTGGAGCGCAGGCAGGAGGTGTTTCGCCGCTGCGTATCTTGCTTCCGCGAGTCCTGATTTGTCGCTCCAAAATGCATACGGGAAGCAGCGCGCAAAGTCCAGTGTGAGACTCCGGAGATAGCAGCTGTCGAAGAAGCGCTCTAGCGTTGGGAGGAGTGGGGTAAAGTCGTAGAAGGACATATGGAGGTGGTTCAGGGACGCCGGAAGTGCTGTCTGTACAAGGGCCTCGAGGAGTAGCTGCGCACGGTCGTCTGCGTCATGGAGCGCGAGCGACGACGGGAAGAGGCTGTGCGGGAGTGGAAGCGTGGGGACGATGTCGGCGTAGCGGGATCCGTAGGTGTAGCGAAAGGAAACTTTCGACAACGTCAAGGAGCAGGTGGGAGAGAAAAGGTTAAGAAGGCGGAAGATGTTCGCGGGCGCGTCAAGGAAGAAGCCGATACTTTTCAGCTCGAGGGTCTGCAGAACGAGAGGGGCGTGCTGTGATAGTTCTGCGGAGCCGAGGTGGGAGATCCGCCAATGATGGAGGTGAAGATGTCGCAAGCGGGGTAGGCGAGACAGAACGGAGAGCAAATCTAACAAGGGTAGCCGGGAGCCGGTGAAGGACCCGGCGATGACCAGGCGCTTCACGGCATGCCCGATATCCGGTGATGCCCTGAGGACATTGTAAAAGCGCGAAAGCTTTCTCGACTCCCCAGGCTCTGCATCGGAAATGCGGAGCACCGAATAGAGATATTCGCGTGCAATAGCCAACCACGTTGAGCACACGAGGGTGCAAGCGCATAAAGCTTCCGTATCCTGCGGCATTCTAAGCATGCAGAATATGTGGCCGACAAGTTCGGGGGGAAAGCGCGCCATTGGGGTGATTGTGGTGGTCGACAGAGGTATGCTGGCAATGCGGGGAGGACGGCCGTGATATATGACGAGATTTTAGCCCCGCCGGAAACTACCGCGGAAGATATGCACATTGTCCCTGAGCGGATCACCCGTGGCGTCAGGGGAGCGCAAGATATCGACGGGCCATAGGAGGCAACAAATGGCAGGGAGGATGACCAGCAACCGAATCCGTCGTGCGAAAAGCAGGTAGTAGTCGGCTCGCTCGGGTTCATGCAGTGCCGCTTATGTAGCAAGTTGCCAGTCTGAAGGCAAAGATAACTTCGAGCGTCAGGAGTAGCCGCTGCATCATAGAAATATGACACACCTGATTGCGGCAAAACCACTGCCACATCTAGTCAATGTGCACATACTTCCATCGCGAGGACTCCTGCAGGATGATCACGGAGATCCAGGACACCTCATGTTTCTCAAAATGAATGAGATAACACGTCATGAAGTTCGCGCTACTGCACGTGTCTCAGAGGTTATACAACGGAAAGATGACTTGTACCCTCACCTACTGCCTCGATAGAGGTCTCGCAGCCCACATCACGCCGCTCATGGATGATATCGCCTCTGGAGGGCGTGAAACGTAGAGGGTCTAACGTGGTCGTTCCAAGAGGAGTCTGAGCAGAGCACTAAATTCGATGTGTATGAAAGTACATCAGCAGACGACGTTCAAGAAGGTAAATCGACGTCGTGGTTGAGTGAGAGAGACTTGGCCAGAACCTAGTCTCCGACGAAGGGATCAGATCAGACCAGACGCCACCAGGGTCCTGATCTCCGGGGTTCTCAAACATCGCTGACTCATCCCCGACTACCTGAGAACGAGATCACCCTGCCTAATAGTCAAGTGGAGAACTGTGATCATGAGAGCATTGCGCCTTAGCTTTTATACGCATAGGTCAGCAGGGCAGGGCCGCCATCAATGCGAAAAGAGAAGTGGTTGCGCGGACGTCAACCCGATCAGCAGCTGTGCGCACCGGCCGCCGAATCACCGCCTCATCCGTGCATAGGGAGCCGCCGATGGTCAGCGGACGCGGTGATCACCTCGTGCAAGCCATCCGTGCAGAAGAGGACCTGCCCGTTCGGAGTGGTGATCGGCGTTGGCATCGGAGTGCGGCGGTGGTCCCGTGAACTTTGTTATTTTTTCTCCCTGGATTTAAAGTGCTACCTACAGAGGGTAGTACACACCTCCCGTGAACGTTGTGACGGCAGCTACTTTTACCTCTTGAACGTCGGGCCAGCAAACTTACCGTCTAAGGTTAAAAAGACTTCCTTTCGTTGATCTAGTGATTCAAACGCGTGCTTGCAGCAGCTCTAGTCTGTGGAGTGATATTCCAGGACCAGTCGTTGTCCGCTTACAGGAACATGTATTGCACATTAGCCTAGAATGTTGAGAAAGAGACAGAGAGATGCAATAGTAATGAGCGGGTGAATCAGAGAATGAGTGCAAGGAGATCGACCCATAGCAAGACCCCAGGTCCCCGGCTGATCGCGATTGAAGGCAGGTCACGTGAATTCCGCCCTCCTTCCAGATCTGGAACTGCCGCCCTCCAAACCACAAGTAAGCGCCGAATCGCCGCCATGTCTGCTCCACCACCGTCGACGACGACGACAACAGCAGCACCATCTGCGTTACTCCCCGAAGTTCTCGGGTTTGTGCCACAATTCTTGCTTGACGATATTGTCGATACCGCGAATGATGCTGTGCGACAGGCTGTCGATGCCATGGAGGTCTTTCTTCGCCGCTGGGCATCTGAACGGGAGGACAAGGTCGACCCAGATTGGGACAGCACCCAGGAGGTGGAACAGGGCCTCGTCGCATTTCAGACACTTCTGAACTCGCATGTCGACATTGCATTCGACTTTTTCGAGGCTTGGTCGCTGCGCAACATCTTTATCGTTCCGCCCGACTTGCCCGCCGTCGTCCCGCACCAGGCGGGCCTCAACCTCGAGCACACAGCCAACGAGGAGAATGCACTTGTGAACGAGATACGCGACTTGAGGAGGAAGATACAAGCGGTGCGTCCCTATCGCGTTCTGCTCGCATACGCGCTCCTGCGTCTGATCATGCGTGGTAGCAACGCAAACTCGAACGCCTCTTCTCGCTCGCCGTGCGCAAGTCGGCTATCCAGCGTGCCAAGTCCGAGCGCAGGCTCGAAAAGCTCGCGTTCCTGCGCGCGCCGCAGATGCAAACCCTCACGCAGCTTCCCGAAGAGTTCCTTGCGATGCACGACGCCGTCGCGTCGCTACCACCACACGACCCGTCCTCGGAGGTCCTCAAAGTGCCGCCGCCCCAGCCTGGCAAGCGGCCCTGGGAGACGAGCAGGACAGGTTATCTCAACTGGGCGATCGAACAGCTGCTTGGTAGAGCGAAAGAGCACGATCGCAGCAGCTCTTCTGCGGGCGCGTCAGCGTTCCGCGTAGGCACGCCTAAGCATGTCGAGGCTGCCATCGAGGCAGCAGGGGAAGACTCTATGGATCTTGATTAATCACGGGCTCTATCGATGGTATGCGTCTTTCGCGGCTGTGCTGGCCTTGTTTGCTGATATTTTCAGCAGTATACCACGCATCCTTATCTCGCTGTCGCTATATGTACAATAACTATCACATATGTACGTCGATCATCTCTGCCTTGACCCATTGAATCACCTCTCGGGCGAGTGGCGCAAGGTACGGTAGGCCACAGCGGGTGTCAGCGCCGCAATGTATGCGAAGGCATGGCACCGCCCGGCAAGCTATGAACATGTTCAGGAGAGAAGCGCTCGACGGGGATGCGACCGTTGTTCAGTATGGTCGAGAGTCATCGCGAGACGAAGCTTACACTAGACTCAGCTTGAAAGGCGCGCATCCACGCAGCGTAGGGGAGATAAGCGGGTCATCGAGGGCATAGGGGAGTCGTGACGAAAGCCAATGTGAGGGAGGCATGTGTGCGGCGAAGTGCTCGGCTAGTGGGACCTCTTCGTAGACGGACTCGAGATCCGCAGGGACGAGACGGACGCTCTCGCGGTTGTGCTGAGGTGGCTCGTGGTAGGCATGGCTCAGAGCATCCAGAGAGCCGGGTTTGAGTTTAGGCGGGGTGTCCTCGAGAAGGCTCTCGGTCTCGTCTGCGCCAGTTTCATCGACAGGCAGGGGTTCACTGGGGCTATGTTCGTCGTGAGTAGACGGCGCTACGAGTGAAGGTGAGATCGTCGAGCTGAAGGTGGGTGCGTCTGCCGAGTTCCCCTCGTCTTGCTCAGTTTCGGCCTGTAGTTCCTCTATATCTGTGGCCTGTGCAAGATGTTAACGAGTGCTCCGTGAGGCGTCGGTGAGTTGCGATGCATCGAGACGTACATCCAGGTTTGGGGTTGTAACACAGTCGTCATTGCTTTCTTCGAATATCTGCTCAGTGGCCGAAGCCTTTATATTGTTCGCACTCCTGCCCTTGTCTGTCGACAGTTTCCTGCGCACTGTTCCCGCCCACCGTTTGAGTGAGGTCCGTCGCAACAACTTTGGCATGGAGACACTGCCGTTGCCACTGCTCTTGAAAGGCCGGCTGAAGACGGACATTGTCGAGGCTGAAGATGAGCTGTGTGGGTTACTGCCAGACTGACGCTGAAGCGGTCGACAGATGATATGTCAGAAATGAAGGGCAAGGACAAAGACGGTCGGTCAGACAAAAGTCATTGATACCCTTTATGCTCACCTCTGTCGGACTTTTAATCACCCTCGGACTGAGTGGCCCGCAGTCTTCAGTGATCCAAAACGCTGATCGCCAGTTGCTTGCAAGTGCTTCATGTTGCTGTGACGACGCGGCACGCAACGCCGTTGGGCGGCAGCTGATCGTTGTGCCTCTTCAAGGATTTGGCAATCTGGAGCCAGCGATGAGGGCGGGCAGCGAGCATGTTCTGGAGTCGGAACAGGAAGGTCACTGGAGCAGGAGGGAGGGGAGCCTTCGTGGCGTTTGATCCGCCCCGGCGAATCTCAAGAGGGGCTGCCAAAGATTCATGTGGTGGTAAGCGCATTTTTCTTGGTAGAACTTCACTAAAACTGGTCAAACAGGAACAACGTTTTTCTCAGTCTCGCGCGAGATTAGTTAGATGAAATTCTATTCAAAACCAGCCAGATCGCGCATAAAACGCGATAAATCTGACAGAGAGTGAAGTCTTGATCCGATGTTGTCGGGCAAGAACCGAAGCAAATCTGGTTCGTGGTCGCCCTAATATTGGCTAAGGTTTCAGAGACTGAAGCTGCCCTTACTACATAATGGAAGGGATCGGTTCAGTTCTCCAGCGCTTCAGCCTCTGAGCAACGATTTTACACCGATTCTCCCAATATTGAGGCGCTTCTTCGACAGCTGCTATCTCCATAGTCTCACGCTCGACTTTGCGCGATGCGCAGTGACGAAGTACCTCCGCACTCCAGCGAATGCTCCTGGAAATGTTTGAGCTTTACGTCGCACCCGCCTCGTCCGCCCTGGACTGTGTTGGGACCTCTATCTCGACATCTTCGCGGCGCTGCCGGATAGTCTACGCGGCTTGCATGTATACATGCCAGACGAACACAAGAGGTTCGATGGCGCAGCGTTCGGGTGAGGTCTTCGGCGGGCAGAAATCCGGAAACTTGAGATCTGCGCCTTGTCCAAAGACACTAAGAAAGCTCACCTGCTGGGTGCGATGTCGATGAAGACTATCAGCATGTGCTACCTTGGCCTGGTAGGCGTTAGCAGTTTTCTGTCCACTCGTGCCAATTTTAGCTGACGGGCGCGGTGTAAACGGCAGCACGAGCCCGGAAAGAATACGCTAATTGCTCGCAAGGCGAACTCCATGATATTGAGGGTGAGTGTTATCCTGTACTCAAGCCACACAAAAGCCGTCGTGATATAATTCGAAGTTAGACTGCGAGGGTTCTATAGACAGCCCGCAGAACTCGATGAGAATGATTTGGAGCATGACGCCGCTTAAGCTATATCATCCATGTCTCAGTGGCCCGCTCAGGCCTGTAATGGCCGTCGTATCCTCCCAGCGGCCATGCTGGTTGACGATAACGTGCCTCACAAAATGCTGCTCGCCGATGAGTCGTCTGATTGCAAGTCGCTCTTTGCAGTTCATTGTGATCGAAATGTTTCTAGAGTCTATAGGCGAGACAGCTGGTGGCATCAAATCGGGCCAGTCCACGGAACGAACGTACGTTTTTTGCTGAATTGAAGGCCAACATTGACGAGATACTTAGCTGATCAACAACCGCCCACTCCGGTGGTACCCTCTCCGTATCAGATATAATCCCTTATGGCCTACCCGATGTACGGCAGCGGGGAGACATAGCCGTCTGTCACAAAAATAAACTGCAGTAGGACACCTTGACATGGACGAACACATCTACCAGCTGTTTTTTCTTGCTTTTAGTAACAGATTTTTGTGGGGTCCGCGGCCGCTAGAGCGCATTCGCGTATTTGCAAGCGGACGAATGGCGGCGACCAGTGCCCGTTGGCGCAAACGTATAAAAGGGTGTGTCGTCAGCGAGTAAGTAGTTCAACAGCTCACCATCGAGCCTCCTTAGAACTTTCTACTCTGATCACTCGTATTTTATCGAGCTCATCATCATGAAGACCTTCGTCGTCCTCGCTTCCCTCGCCGCCTGCGCCCTGGCCCAGCGGCTGCACATCCAGGAGCCCACCTCAGGCCAAACGGTCTCTGGCAGCGGTACCGTCACCGTTGAGCTCGAGCAGGACGTACGTACTGCACTTCACCTCGTCTATCATCTTAGTCGCTCATTTGTCCCTACGTCTAGCAATCCCTCGGCCCGCTTGTGCAGACCTCGGTGCTCATCGCCATGAACAACTGCTTCGACGTCTGCAGCGAGCCCGACCAGTGGGGCCCGGCGACGGTGCTCTACAATGGGCCGTTCAACCCTCAGTTCAACTCGTCCGCTCCGGAGAAGGGAGTTTACCAGGATTTCGCCATCCAGCTTCCAGGTTTCCAGTCTGGCGGGGCGATCATTCAGGTTGCACACCAGTTCCAGGCGGGCGGGGTAAGCGTGATAACATGTCGTCATGATTTTTCTAATACAAAGTCCTGGCAGGCGACGCTCACCAATGTCTTTGACTATTCGACGGTTCAAGTCAATGTCCAGTAACTCTGTCATTCACTGAACCATCACGTAACCTACCACCGTGGACTGGATCATTTCTTCGATCACGACCATCGCAACTAGTGTTACCCATAGTAGTGTATCGTCTGCGAGATCAGCACCCAGTCGTAGTCTTGCTGTGTGTCTCTGGCTGCCCAATGAAAGCAGAAAGAGCCGTATTTAAGCGCGTACCCCCAGACTTTGATGGAGCGCCTCAGCGAACCGCCATCATTTCGACTCTCTTCTGCAGCGACTGGTCATGCACGTCCACCTCTACATCTCAGAGATGGCGTCAAATATTGACGCTGTCAATCGGGATATCTAGAGACTAGAGCTTTCAGCGGTATTCATGCGAAGCGCGTATGAAGTCTCACAATCACGCCGACTCCGAGCACAGATATGATGTACCAGAAAGCTGCTTGCATACCCTCCGAGATACATATTCTTGGGCAATGGCTTTTCCCAGCACTCATAGCCTAACAGCGCATGGAAATCACTATATCAGCTGTAACTTTGCGCCATGCAAATGCGTGTGGTTAACGGCTGGACGTTATCTCAAGCGCGGATGGCCTTTCATCGTTAGAGCCGACATGACCCTTCCCCCTCTCCAAAGCTCTTGGTCCACCAAGATAAGAATTTTCGTTCCAGTTTTAGAGCTCGGGCCCACCGTCAGCGACATGTACGCATGTTACTACTCGTGTGAGTTTTGCATTACATCCGTATCAGGGACACATTCTGACATGTCGTGGCGTAGTAAATCACCCACCCAGTGAACTACGAACGCTGGTGCATTTTCCCACCTCAAAGACGACGACGGTGATCCATGTTTTCAAAATAATCCTCTTATCCGTCGCCAGAGGAGCAAACATGGCGCGTTTGAACCAATCGGGGCCGATACTGTGCAGAGGCTACATTTTGCCAATGCGGTCGCACCCTGTCTCGCTTGAAGCTAAGCTGTCTCCGCGCTACCTCCGAAACAGGCTATGCAAGCGTCGGAGCTTCAGAGTAATCCCGAACACCCTCATTACTCCTTGCTCAACTCGGGGCAGCGGCGGACACAACTTGCTCTGAACCACGTCGACGGTCACCATGGACCAGCTCCCTCCGGAACTACTCGATGCAATCTTCGTGCAGCTCCAGAAAGACCGTGATACGAGTGCGCTGCGCTCGTGTAGTCTGGTCTGCAAGCTCTGGTTGGCTTGCTCCCGACGCCACCTATTCTCAAGACTTGTTGTGCCCAGCTGGCCGCAAGAGCACGATGTCGCAAGCTTAGTGCATCTCCTGCAATCCTCCCACAGCATTATACATGCCGTAACCCACCTGGTTTTAGCCGAACAGCCCTTCGCCGAAATCCTGCAGATTGAGGAGCTCTTGCAGACAGTCGGCATGCTCAGACGCCTGCGGCAGCTTACTATAAGCGGTCGCTGGATCGTAGGCAGTGGAGTGCTGCTCGAATCATTCGCGCGTGCGGCTGCCGCGCTGGAATGCCTAGAGTTGAACTCGCTCTGCGAGTTTGGAGAAGTCATTCTCTGGCTCATCCGATTGATCTCATGCAAGAAGCTAAGGATTGGGGCGCTCACCTGGCCCTGCGGTGATACCTTCCTATCTGAGGTCGTCTTCGCCAGTCCCGCACCTTCCTGCATCGAGCTGCAGAAGGTCGAGAGCCATCTGCAACACTTCCTCTATCATCTACCCTCTGAAAACCTATACGAGAACCTCCGGGAGCTGCGAATCTCCTTCGAGTCGTTTACAGAGCTAATCGTACCCATCTCGCGGTTGCTCGGAGACTCAAGATGCAGGCTGCAGTTCTTGACGCTCGACTTTGCCAATTACTACGCCCGCGGGTACGCGACGGAGGCTAAATTTTCGCCGGCGTGCATTGCCGAAGGCGTCGCGCAGTACCTCTGTCCGGCACTGCAATGCCTTCGTTCCCTGCAGACGTTCACCCTCGGCGTGGGTGCCGTCTCACACCAGATGGCGTTCAACGTCAAGGACAGGAGCGAGCACTTCATACCGTTCTGGGACGTGCTCGCCGCCATCGTGCGTTCCCTTCCCTCCGAGCTCGAGGAGCTGCACGTCGTCGCCCACGAACGGTTCGATATGGACCCGCACGCGTTTCGAGACGCCCTACGCCGGCTTGGGAGCCTGCGGCGCGTGGTGTTCCGCAGCTGGATGGACGATGCGAAGAAGGATGAGGTTCTCCGGGCTGTGCCTGAGCTCTCGCAGTACGGTACTCTGCAGTTCCTCCATGAACCTTTCGAGGGAACCTTGGTTTGAGGTAAGTTCTGCCCGCTCTTGATCTTGCCACGAAGCTTACGGATGCGCGCTAGATTTACTAGCTTTAGCCGCTCAGTTCTCGGTTCTGCGTCTCCAATACACCCAATACGCTACAAGAATTCTTTTTTCACTGCAACCTTTCTGTGTTCGCACTGTCAGCATTTGGCATAAGCACGAAGCTTGCCGCACTGCGTCTTGTCTCGTGTTTCGAGCGTGTCTTGATTTCATAGCCAAGAACAAGTATATCATTAGACTGTTCCTCATGAGAACGTATAGACTTGAGCCATAGAGCTACTGCAGACGATTTGAGCGATGTCTTGCCAGCCTCCGCGCCCCGCCGCTCAGGCGCTTAGAGACGCACGTGATGGTCTCGGGTCGGGCAGCGGGGGTTCACGGCATTGGCCAGGAACTTTGGGCAAAGCGCGGTTTTCGGCCTTTTCAGGTGAAGCGCCTTGGCTGGATTTGGTATCGATCTCCGCTTTGCAGCCGGATTTTCGATTGTCCGTGCGGAAGAAAATCCTGGTCGGGAGCTCGGGTTCTTCCTTACGTCTCCGGGAACGTTCATCGACGTCCACCGCTCCTCGTAGACCACCCCCGCTTCGCTCCCCGGGCCCTCGTCGGTCCTCGTCCATCGGTGAGTTCCTCGCTCTCTGTCCCCCGCCGTCTCTCACTTCCCCCTCCTCGACCCCGCTCTCGACGATGTCCTCTGCGATATTCGCTTTTCCATCTCATAGTCACCCGCCGCGCCGAGCGTGCTCGGCGGCGCCCTCACCGTCTTTTCCATAGCACACAGAACCCATGGACCAACGCACCATGGTCCCGCGGCAGGCGTACAACCTCCCCCTCCAGAGCTCGCTTCATTCTCACTATCCGCAGCAGTCGACGCCTTCCCAGACCCAGGTCCAGCATGTACAGCAGGTCCCTCCCGCCGTCCAGCAGATCCAGCAACAGGTGTCCCAAGTCCACCCAAATCATAATCACCAAGGCCATCCAACTCACCAGGGCCAACAAGGCCAACAAGGCCAACAAGTCTCAGCCGTCCCCTCGCAGAGGCCGACACCGGCCTCGGTCCATAGTCCAACGCGTTCTTCACTCTACCAGCCGCTGCAGGACCCGCAGGATGCAGCCACCCTGGAAGCGTCTTACAGGCGCACAATCATCATTGTCTACTGGTACAAGGTGAGTGCATCGATTCTCTGCGAACGCTGCATGTGCTCATCGTTTGCAGGCCGGAATGGAGCCAGTACGCATGACCAGAGAGGTTCCGACGTTCCCACTCTTCCGACTCAGCAACTTCAAGGATATCACAGAGTCCCTCGCACTTAGCAACAACTCCTTCATTGATGCGTACGACCCCGAGTCACAGACTTGGAGCCAGCAGCCCACCACCGCTGTGCAGACAATCAAGCATCTCCCCAATCAACTCCCACGACTCCTCTTTCGCGCTCGCAAGAGCCTGCTCGAGGGCCTTTCAGACCACGAGTGCAGCGGACTCGACCATGAGCTCCGTATCCAGCACCACGCACACCACGCGAACGGACAGAGCCCCACGCTGGACGCGAGCTCCCCGCCGACCAGGCCCGCCAAGCGGCCCGCCCCCGACGGCGCCGGCGAGCCGATGGCGAAGCACTTCCGCACGCCGAGCACGGGCTTCGTCCACAGCGGGACCCACACGCCGGCCTTTGCCACGAACATGTCCGCACAGCAGCAGCAGCAGCAGCCTGGCCCGTCTGCGCCAATGAACCCGTCGCCGACCTCGCCGAGCCTGCAGTCGCCGTTCCTGCAACGCGATGACGCGTTGCAACCCGCGTCCGACGACGCGCTCGTTGGGGGCGCGCAGGGCCAGCCTGGCGCGGCACCGGGCGGCAGCGGGGGCGGCGCCGGCGGCGGGGCATCACCAACGGGGCCGCCGGGGAAGCGGTGGCCGAACGACTACGCGGTGTGCGAGATCGCGCAGGGGTTTCAGCAGATGGACAAGCTGACGGCGGCGACGCCGTCGCTGACGCAGCGCGCGGCGTTCGAGCGCGTGTTCGGGTGCCGGTACGTGAAGAGCACGGTGTGCCGGCACCGGGGCGTGTGGAAGCGCGCGGACGGGGCGCTCAAGGACGCGTTCGTGCGCATGGGCACCGGCGAGGGCGCGCTCTGGGGCGAGTTCGTGAAGAAGACGGACTTCCGGCGCGAGCACCACAAGGTCAAGGGCCAGGACGAGGACGGACTCGACGCGCACGTTCAGATCGACTACATGGGCTCCCTTGGGCTCGGCATGGTCGATGAGCCGCCGCCGCCGATGGCCTCACTCGCCCCGCCCGGCTGACGCTGACAGACCCGGTTCCGGCTTCCTCTTGCTCTTTTCCTTTTTCTTGTTTACGCCCCCGTCATGCCCCTTACGACCACCGACCAAAAGCTTTCTTGTGTATCAACATTGGGTTCAGGATTCGGTACGGACTTTTGGGCATACCAGTGCAGACACCATACCTACACTACTGTACATGTCATTGTTGCTACGCTATCGCCGTTATTTTGCTCAGTTATCGCACCGCTGTCTTATTTTGGCTTATCATAGTTTTGTTCGTCATCGGCTTTATGCGTAATTGTCCTTAAGACCCCGTCCCTTTGAACGTCACGCATGAAAGCTAAAAACACACGAATCTTGACCAGTCAATATCATGTAGGACCACAGACTATGTACAGGCCTGCAAGCAGCAAGACGATAAAGCACATAGCCAGGCAGGGGATCAGCAAGAGCGCTTGTCCAAGGTCCGTAATCTGCGGGTCGCATTGGGATAAATTACATGATGCGAGGGAATATGGACAGGCACGGAATATAATAATAGATATAGGTGGAATATAGATTGGATATGAGTGAAATATGAGAGATACGATAATGATAGCATGGGCACAACCAAGTGTAGCGCACGAAGTGGCCGCGGAGCTAGGCGAGACAAGAAAGCAGGCACCAAGGAACATCTAAAGGGAATAGATATTTTTGAAGAGGGTCAGCCGACAAAGGCGGCGTCTCTCAGGTGCAACTGTATGATGCCGTCGCGTACTGCGATAAACCTCTTCAGTCGTCAGATGTTAGCCATGGCCGGCAGGAGACGCACCTGAAGCGAGTGTTTTTGCAGTTGCCTCGTAGTCCTGTAAGGGCTATCAAAGACGATCCTTGGCCACACAACAGAGGAGATGCGTACGACAACAGAGGTCATGTACCCATAAAACGCTCTCTTCTCGGGCGAGTTTGCGCTCTGAACGTCCTTGAATTTAGTTTTTAGATCTTAACAAAGGGTAGCAGAGGATCGTGTCAGGGTGGTTCGAGGAATATGTTATGGCGGACATACAGCTTGAGAAGCTGGCAAAGTCGTTTGGCCGGCTGCCGTAGCTAGTCATGTAGCGGCTGACTTGAATACCTGCGTTGATCTTGCTTTCGAGCAGGTCACACTTGTTCATAAATACTATCCGAATATTAGCGTGGGAGATACGTAGAAATGCGACAGAGTACTTACAGATAAAGATGGCTCCCTTGAGAAGCTCAGACTTGCATATGCTCAGCCAGAGTATGAAAGAGTCCTCGAGGCGATTGATCCGCTTGTCCTCCGCGAGCCGTTCATCGAAGGCAGATATCGGGGCGAGGAACAGGATACAATTGATGTCCGAGAAGTAAGGGAGCCACGCGGCGCGCTATGAGCGTGCCTGTCAGAAGACCCAAAGCATGTGGACAGATATAAGTTCTCACTGAAGTTCTCGAGCCTCCGACGTCGTAGATGGCCCACTCCCGAGCGAGACCGCGAGTGTCGTCTAGAGAGTCTGGAGGGTCAGTTATTATCTACTCTGAATCTGCATGATTGCGACGAGCAGAACTCCAGACTGGGCTGGCAGATGCGTTTGGGGGGTATAGATAACATAGAAATATAGACACACCATAAACCTCAAAGGTGAGGTTGTATTCTTGGACACCGAGGGTCCTTATCCTGGCGCGGAGGACGTCGTTATCGGACGGTTTGTAGTCACGTGTCGCGATACGGGAAATGCAGGTCAGGAAGCTGTCAGACGTGCGACGGAAACCGTCGAAAGTCACCACAGAAGCAGTGCGCCACGACGGGGACCAACAGTACGTTTTGGGAAGGTACAAGGAAGGATACAGGATCGACCATCAACAGAAGTTCGGAGATGTTGGCATCAAGCGGCGACTTACTACTCAGCCGAGTCTCCCAGCTGGCTCATCACTCGCCGCCGGCGGACAATGTCCCGCACGACGGGGTCGAGCCACAGCGCGGACATGTCGTCCGCGCAGCCCACCAGGACGTCCGTCGCGGTGTCGCGGGGGTCTGACGGCGAGTTCGGCCGCATGGTCAGGGCACGGTCTTTCTCCTTCCTCGCCTTCTCGCGCTCCTTCCACGCCCGGTGGGACCTCACGACGGCCTCCTTCGGGGTGAAGCGTCGCGAGGGCGTCGGGTAGGTCGAGTCGTCGAACGGGGTCGCCATCATGGCTTCCACACCCGACATCAAGGACGCGTCCACGATCTCGTCGGCACCGGCGCCGAGGCGCATCTTCAGGTCTGTCTCGACCTGTCGCAGCGGTGTCAGCCGCATGCGCAGCATCATGAGCGGGCCACGCCGGTCCTGCGGGATGAGAAGTTGGTCTGTAGGCGGTGAGTGTCCCTCGTCGGACGAGTGCAAGGAATGCCGCGTCGCCGGGGATTGCGGGGCGGACAGCTCCTCGGCGAGGGCGTCGACGATGGTGTTGATGCTCCGGATAAGGTTCAGTTGAATAACGGCCTTCCAGGACGCCCGCTCCTGTGCCCACGCTTTCGGTGTGTAGGCCATCTGCATGGCTGTGCGAACCACGGTCAGCCCAAGAAATGTCTGGGATGTTCGGAAGAGACCAACTTTTCAGCGTGGTGGACTTGCCTGAAGACGAATGTTAGCAGGCACGACAGCACGGTACAAGCTAGCGCACCGCTTTCGCTTTGCCCTAGCAGCAGCATCTTCATGACCTTCCTCTTCTTAAGCGCAGCCTTTTCCTTATTCAACGCCTCGTCAATCTGGTCGCTTATCCGCCGCGCCTCGGCCTCGACGTTCAGTCTGTGTTCCCTCTCCTCAGGAGTCTCCCCGGGCGGCGGCGCCAGCGCACGCGTGAGCGGGTCGTCCGACTCATGCATAAGCCCTCTCATCGGGCCAGCCCCAGACGAGTCAAAGTGCACGGTAGCTGTCGGATAGGTCAGTTTGAATTCTGAGAGGGAGGAGCGCACGCGCCCGCTGAGGGTGGGACTCGAGGCCGATGACATGGACATGTTGGAAGAGAAGGGGAGCGTAACAAAAGTCAAAGGGAAGGACTGACGTTGGGGAAGGCAGGCGCGTATAAAGCCTGGTGGCAGCCGAGACGAGCGAAGAAAAAACTAGTTAAAGTCGCAAAGCGGAGGCTGCACGCGGAAAGGGGAGGCGATCGGACACTTGGAGAGACTCCGACTTTTGGCATGGTACTGCCGCCCGCAGGGCTCGGTTGATGCGGCGACTCGGTGCGGCTCGCCACTGCCGCCAGTTGCGCGATGCGGAAGGATCTGATCAGAATCGCTTCGCTTGGCTCGAGGCGGATCAAATTTACAGCTGCGCACACCACCTCCTAAGAAATACCTTTCTGCCATGCCTCTGAGAGCAAAAATGTTGCACACCGATCCCGTAGATGGGCTGGTTTTGTCTTTGTGTCTTATCCGTTGAGTTAAGAGCTGGCTAATCGTCGCTCCCACACCTCGATCACCCTTCAATCGTGAGCTAAATATTGACAGCTGAGACGTGAACTGTTTTCTTCTCTCACGAGATCCCCATCTAGCATTCAGGACCGCCCTCCTTTCCACCGTCCGTGCGTACGCACACGCAATTTGTTTCCATCACAACAGCCGCTGCGAGGTTATCCACAGCCCTGTCGTGTGTGCAACCCACCCTGCGTGCGAGGAGGGCGATGTGAGCTTCGTGAAGAAGCCGTGTGCCCTTTCGCGAGGCACACCATGCATATTAACGGCAATGACGCTTCCAGGATTAATATTGGTGTGCCGGCTGGCTTCGCTTCTGGCGGGCGTGCCTGCCTGACCGGGTGAGCCGCCGCCACATGCCGCCACTGAGACATCCGCACATCACGGAAATAAGTAACCCGGCTCCCACCGCAGAGCTCGCACGACATCTCGCCGTACTGTACAACCTCGTCGTCGCAATGAACAACGGGAACACACAGGCGGCCATCATCAGGGAGTCCTGCACTTGAGAGTATCGCCCGAGGTCAGGGACGAATAGCCCCACAAGCTATTACGACTACCGAATTCCGCCGTTAAAGTTCAAGGTTGCACAGCACGCAGCGTGAGCAGATGCTTATGTAGTAGCCCGTCATTGCACAGCCACCTCAAATGAGACCAAAAGCTTATTTATATCTACAAGCCAAGCTGTCAGTAATCATTCGCATACTCGAGATGTGCCGCCCCCTGAGTCCCTTACTTGGCACGCTGCTCTTTGACGACATGTATCAAGCACACAGCCTTAACAAGTGGATGATGGCCGCAAGCGACATCAAAAGTAAGGTAGCGAAGATGAAGCGCGCGAACTATACTGTTGGTGTGGCGCAGGAAAGACTGGTCTAGAACCTGACCGGGCGCTGAGTAAACCCCTCCGGCAGCAAATGCGCCGCGACTGCAGTCAAGAGACGTAAAGGCCATCCTGTTGTCTTACCGATGCAAAGTCAGCACCCCCAACGCCCACACGGATAGGTCAGAACATACCTCAGCTGTTTTACACCAGCTTGACCTCCGCTGCAGAGAGCCAGTCTGCATAGTGGATGCACTCCTGAGGGTTCACAGACCCACCGACTTTGCAGAAGTCGAAGACGGGGCAGCGCCCGCACGGAGCCTGCGCGATGCCAAAGTGCGCCATGCGTTCGGGATATACCGCACGATACACGTGTGCGCCGCCCAGGGCGTCGTCATCGAAGGTCAGCTCTTCCGGCGAGGTTTCGCGCTTCGCCTTGCCCTTCGAGCGCGACCGCGACGGAGCCTTCGGCGGCGAGCTCACGTCGGGCTCGCTTTCGCTCTCGGAATCGGAGGCGTGGTTCTTGGTCTTGGTCTTGGTCTTGCTTTTGCCCCTGCTTTTGCCCCGCTTCTTCCTCCTGTGGGCCTCCTCAGGCTCGGCCTCGGCCTCGGAGGCGCTCTCGTCGGAGCTGTCGCGCGACCTTAGCTTCTTGGACTTTCTCTTTTTCCGCCTGCCCTCCGACTCGTCCCCACCGTTGCTCTCCGAATCGGTAGCATGTTTCTTCCGCTTCTTGGACTTGCTTTTCGACTCGGATTTCGACTTCGATTTATAGCGCCTGCCGCTGCCGTCGTCAGAGTCGGAGTCGCTCTCGTTGGAAGAGTCCTCAGTTTTGTGACGCTTCTTCTTCCGTTTGGAGCTGTCCTCTTCCCGCATGCGCTTCTTGCCTTTTGGCTTCTCTTCTTCGCTCGAGCTGCCCTCATCACTTTCGCCCAGAGCAGACTCCCACAGTGTAGCACCAAGCGCAGGCACCTGCTATGCATGAACACGCGGGGAGTACTCCTGGACCGAACCGGGTGGACACACCTTTTCGACATCACCGTCCAGCACCAACACGTTCAAGAGCGTCTCCACGTGCTCAACAGTCAGCTGCGTTTCAGTGATCCGGCTCTTATTCAGGAACCCTTGAACTTGCGCGGCGGTCGGGTACGATGGTGCAGCCGAGATGGGATACAGCAGCCGCTGCGATGATTCCCCGGTCTTGGAACGCGGGAAGCTCTGCATAATAAGGCGCGATGAGTGACAGGAGATGTAGTGAAACAGATTAGCAGAGCGCACCCGGTCGCGTATGAATTTGAGACATGCCGCCGTCAGGAGCTTGATAAATTCGGTGTCAAGTTCTTTGTCGGTGTACCACGGGCCGCCGGTCATCTCTGTCGAGGGTTCTAGGTGGAAGAGCATGTAGATCTTGCGCGTAGGATGCTACAGGTCGTATATCGATATGGAGCAACATGCATGAACAACAGTACGCACTTGCACGCTTCCGCTGATGCACTTCACGAGCTTCTTCTGCGTAAGAGACTTGAGGCATCGGTCGATGACTGTCTGGTGCAGCTCGGTCTTGACTTTGATATGTTTTGTCCAGATACCTGTCATCGAGATTTAGATACGTGAAAAGTCACCGGCGAGTTTGGAGGGTACCTTCATTCCCAGCAGCCTGGATGTGACTCAGGACAAGGCTTTCCTCGCCTGAGAGATCCTTCTTACTGCATGTGAGTAGACGTGGTGTGAGACGAGGCAGATGAGCAGGAAGCACGCGCTGAAAGCAAGTACCACACACGCATCGAGTTCCTTCTTCACGACAGCTCGGAACATCAGCTTCCCACTGCCATCCTTCAGCACCTTGAAGAGCCCGGCACCGAGCAGAAAGTTGGTCGCCGTGGTTCGCGCCGCTTGATCTGGAGCGAGAGTCTCAAGCTCCTTATTCGCTATCGTCTAGCGCAACGCGTAAGCCTCGCTCAACGTTCTTTGTGGAAGGAAGAAACGTGCACACCCGGTCATCTGCAGCGAGTGCAGCCTGGTGAATCTTCTGCTCGAGGGCGTTGAGCTTGCGACCGCTCATTTAAGCAAACTTCAGCTACTATAGCATGTATAGATCGTGAAAGTGAGGTCTCCCTCCCAACTAGACGGGAGAGTGGAAGGCGGAGGCGGAAGTGGTGGAAGATGCGAGTACCTAAAGGCGCCGTCTGAGGGTTAAGGTTATGATCTGATGCGCTGATGCGCTCTTCCTTTTCTAGGTACCGAACATAGCTCGGGCGTCTGAGTCCTGATTCGACCGCCGGGCCTGATGGTGACCTTCACGATGACTATATCTTTCTATAAATTTCGATGCTAGCTTCGACATCGCTGGACTTACGCTAGTAGGCTCATCCGCGTTGACCATTTGCTGAGGTCTCTGAATCCCGTTTTCAGATGCCAACTCATTATTCCGCCGCCCCGAACTTCATGTCTTCAATGGTACATCAAGCTCCCCTGAATTGGCACCATACCGCGTTCACGAGACGAGGATCTGAGTTTGAATGAAGCTATATCCTTTCCGGATACGTGCCGATAACTATGTGTAGACCTGAGAGCTGGGATGCAACTAACACCAAGAGGTCTTCCTTGGAGATACGCTATGCAGCCTCGCCGCAAGTAGACCGTGCGTAGCTAGTAATTTAGTCGTGCTCATCCCTGAAACTATACAGACTTGCAATCTCCGACAGACCTGTCCTTTCGTGCTTCTCCTGTCTCTTCTTCCCTCTGCTCCTTGTCTCCGCCTCTCGCGCTGCACAACAGGGATGAATTACATTGACCACCTGTCAAGGTCACTTGCCCTTCCGCCGCCCATTAACCGATCCTTATCTCGCTATCCTCAAGCCTACTCAATTGAAGGGGAACGCAATATAAGTAGGGCTGATCCACGCTCGTCAGGTTCTCTACACTTCACTGTATCGTGCCGTGATGCTTTGCTTCTCTGTTCTTCTGCATGCGGTCTCACTCTTCATCGTGCTGATGGTACGTGTTCGTTCGCGCTTCTTGAGGTTGGTTGCGTTCTCAGGTACGCTTCGCAGATGATTACCACGCCTACGTCCGTCCGCGCCTACACAACAACGTCATTTTCCACGTGGGGTGGCCTTGTCTATCCTACAACGCCGTCTACTATTATCCTCAGCCCCTCATCGACGGATGGATAATGAGCAGCCCGATGTCGGAGCTTACAGCAATTTACTTACGTGTAAGTGCTTGGCATCTCTTCATATCGTAGACCCATAAGAATTCTTACTAATTCTGTAGGCGACTGTTAACCGTGCGGACTATTCGGAGGCGAGGCGCGAGGCATCCGGTCCTCACAAATGTGTACTCTTGGACGTTCGGCTGTGCGAGCGTTCGAGCACAAGCGCACTGCCTGTCAGCACTCTGCCTGAAATCGCCCTGTAAAGTGCTTGTGACAATACTGCGCCCTGTGCTCTACTACGGAGTGTTTCATCGGATAGTAGACATCAGCGCGGCGCCGCAGAAATAGCTGACAGAGGCAGCCTCTTCATCTGCGAGCGTAATGCTGGGCCACCATTCGCCCTTGGACTTAGTCATCGGCCGACTATTCCAGTTTACAAAGGTGCAGCAAGCTGCAAGGCCGATTTCAAACGTCATTCTTCGGTCTATTCTCGACCCATGAACTCGGCTCTGTGTTCCCGTCGGTTTCGTGCCGCAGTGCGGAGAGAAGGGCAGTGCCTTCCTCGAGGCAAGGCACAGCTGCGATCTGTGAGTGGCCCGGCAGCGAACGTTGCATCGGGGCTTGCCTAGCCTCGTCTCCCGCGTACCATAGCCCTCGTCATTGATGTTAACTGTGTACATACTTTCTACGTATCTCGCTGCGCTGAACGTCCGGATCTGTATAGATTTCCCATGCCCTGCAGCTGAGAGTGTCATACGCAATATCTTAGTGTCAGAACGGGACTAGTCAGCTGGATGTGCTTCACAAGGACAGAGCCCAAAGTATCTGCTTCTGGTCAGCTGCATAGTGGTACGAGATCAGCATGGGACCCGTGCCCAGAGTTTCGCACGGTCAGCGAGCACATGAAAGCGCGGCTCGGATAGGCCGGAGCCGAAATTCGTGATCGCTAGCGCACGGCGAGAATCGCCGCCAACAGAGTAAAGCGAACCATCTCAGGCCCTTCCAGCCGGGCCAGGCTGGGGTATATAAGTCGTGCGCACGCCGCCCCAGCCGGTCGTCGTGTCCTTTCGACTCAACCACCCCCAAGACCTTTACGCGTTACCTTTTTACCCGCCCAGCCCCGCCGCTACACGCTTCACGACCGAAATGATGTTCACAAAGGCCGTCGCTGCTCTTTTCCTTAGTGCTCTCGCCCAAACAGGCATGACCTACGCTGCTCCTCTTGAGAAGAGGGACGTCTACTCGCCGCCGGTGCTCTATCCCCACACTGGCACTGTTTGGTATTCGGGACAGACTCACAACGTGACATGGTGTGTTCTCCTGCTGTGCTCACCTTGGTTGTCGCTGAAGGCATGCCTGCGCTTTCTAGGGACAACTCGAACCCACCCACGTCCATCTCGAACAGGGCGTTCATCCTCCTCCGTCAGGGCAATTCCGAGCTACCCGGTATGTCGCATGTTACTATGTCTGCGAAACTTAATTCATTGATCCCCGTCATCTCAGTTGTCCTTGCCCACGACTTTGACCTGCGTGCGGGCCGTGTGGAGGTCGAGGTCCCCGACGTCATCACCGGGAACTTTAGCATCGTCTGTGAGTGCTAGCCGTCTGCCTCCTCGCTGACTCTTTTGCTCATGATCGTCCTAGTGTTCGGTGACTCTGGCAACTGGAGCGAAGACTTCCTCATCAATGGCCCCATTGACTTCTAATCATCTCATTCGAACGTTCACGACAAACTCAGACGACTGCCACGGACTTTTTGAACGCACACCCTCACGAACTTTTGCATCTAACAACTGAACTTTGGCGCTCCGTTACTCGTTGGACTTCGTAGTGCTTTCATAGCGAACTTTTGCTCGGGGAATGTGTTAATAGTACCGCCGTGCTTGGATCATTTCGGACCTTAGCATACTTAATTACGTAACACCATAATACACTGCATGGAATCGGTGCTGTCGTGTCATTGTCTGACGCGACGTGATGCATATGGGTATCCGCAGTAGCCCCGACTTACTCGCCGGCAGATACGTGACACTAACGGCCGACTGTGTCCTCGACCTGGCGGACTTGACTCTCCTGCACCGACACGGAGATATCGAGACTGCAAGATGGGGGAATGTTGCCGAGTCCGCCGTCTAATCCAGCCAGCCAGCCGGTTCTCTGGGGAGGGGGTCGAACTTCTGCGGGGTAGTGAGGTGAGCTCTCCTGATGCAGGTTAGTCACTCCGCGTGCTGTCGACAAAGGGAAACCCATGCTTTGAATATCCTGATAGACGGGGAAAGCATTATCCATCCGCTACCGCCTCGTCCTTTTACCATCCTTAGCTTCTCGCATCCGCGCCGCTACGCTTCTGATACCGCCACAACTCTGCTTAAGAGGCACATTGTTGAGCAAGCGAGCAGCGCTCCGAAGCTCAGCGCCCGTCGGCCGGATCTCAGCGGAGTGCTCAGGTGGTCGTTCGACTGAGCGGGGGAGCATGTCGCGCGGATAGGTTACTGTCGATGGACAGGCGTAGTAGGCACGCTCGAGAAAATCCAGGGGAAGGATAAACATAAACCTACCGTATGTTAAAGCTGAGCATCCTACAAAAGAATACTAGCGCGGATAATGTCAGCTAGATTGAACGCCTGCAAAGGGAACCAAGAGAGCCCAGAGCGAGCTGGCTGGATTGGCGAATACAATAAGCGACAAGAACTCCCAGTATAAAGACGACATATGCGCAAGTCGCGGCAAGTCGCCGTCAACGTTGGACATTTCGTCTCAAACACATCTAAACAGGGTAGATGATAGGCACGACACGAGCAGAGCGAGGCATTCGCGAGATAGAGAGACAGGCCAGCCTGAGTGCAATAAATGCTGTATTTGAAGTCCAGAGTTGTGTCAGATTAAGAGTTGCAGTAGCGCCAGCGAGCTGCCATTGGTACGCGGCGGGCATATTCGGATCATCCGAGCCAACGCCACGAAGGTTTCCCCTTTCCACCACCAACGCTGCCTGGTGATTATAATAAAGTCAAAGTGGCATTTCTTAAACATATGTTGCATTCACATTCACACAAGCCTTGAAGTTGCCGATATGGCCTCGTCCCAGAGCAGATCCGTGCGGCCTCCTCGTGTTGCATATCGACATGAGCTCGAAACTTCTATCCGGACCATGGTCTCCCTTTATCGCGCACATTGGTTCAAGAATCACGACAACGTGTACTGCGCCATTACATACGTTTCATCTTGGCTTCAGGTGGGAAAACATACGGGGTTCTGCTGCTGATCCTTTACACAGGCACTATGTGGGCTATCCACAACCGGTATGTTCAGGTGCGACATATGACCCGGTTTCTCTATCGCTTACAAATTCAAGACTCGCCTGGTGCGACACATACCAAGGCGATGGCGTCCTGTCATGACTTATCAGCTCTTCTGTGCTTGCTGTTTCTCATCGCTTTCCGCCAGGGAGCGGGTTCACCATATGGCATCATCAGCACGTTCTTTTGTCGAACGCAATGTGGAGGATGTGACAAGCCTCCTAGGTGAGCAATATCACTATGAGCTGTGCCCCTCAGCCTCAGCCTCGGAATAGTCCCCTTTGTCTTCTGCGACACCGCTCTGCATCTTCTCCACGAAGCTGCTCACATTGCCGCTTTTAGGATGGAGCGTTGCTCCATCTTCTCTGAATTGCCCTCCAGGCATCAAGTCCTCTGTGAAGTCCAAAACCCGTGCAGAATCCTACCAAGTACAGTTCGATTCCGGCTACACTGTCTGTTTATCAGGACCATAGGTTAGTCAGAGTATGGCGGTTGCGAGGTGCATTTAATATCATGCTGAGAGGTTCTGATGAAGTATTGACAGCTCTTCATGGATGTCTGCCGCTCATTCACAGTGAATCAGAGCGAAGGGACTAGAAATGAGACTGGTCGGGCAAGGCGAAAAGCTTCTCCTGTGAAACCTCGACCGTGACGATGACAGACTATGTCGACACTAACATTCTGCGACGGATCTAAGGCCTCAGTGCTCAGCTGTCATCTCTTGACCGCTTGAGGATCATCTGGCCAATGCCGCATTCCCTCACCGCAGTCTTGTCTGCTTAATTGGGCCTTGATGGTATGGACATTGTATATTCTGCTGTCGATGTGTGTTATGAGCAGGGCACTTGTGATATCATCTGGATTTTTCTGAGCCGTCGCTTCAGTAAAGGCTTTTAAACTAGGATCATCTCTGCACAAATCTGTCAAGATGTTCGTTTGGGTGGATGCCCTGTGGAATTGATCCGGGCATACTCGCTGCGCTACGCAGTAGCGCAGTATGTTTCCCCGAGCCAACGTTACTGCTGTCCACAACGCAAGGGCTCCGCGCACACCATGCTACCAACCGTCTCGATTTCTCACCACCTTACAACAGAGCATAGAATTCTCTCCAAGTAAAGGTACATAATACTACACTTACGCACAGCCGGGCTAGCGTGAATGTTCAGCCACCGTATACAGACATCTTCTTAGCAAATACCTTTGCCTAACATGATTCGGCTCCCTTTGGAGTTCCTGAATGAGATCATCAGAATGGCCGCACTAGACCCTGATTGGAAGGAACTTTTGATATCTTGTAATCAGGTCTCCAGCTCATGGTCAGCCTGCGCCCGCCCTCACCTCTTCTCCATGCTTCGCGTGACGAACGCTCCTGATCACATGATTGTCGATCTCGAACGTCTCCTCCAGTCATCGCTGGAAATCTGTGTCACCGTGACACACCTCATCCTTGACAACCATCTCCCTCGCAGCGTTGGTGGCATACCTGTCGATGAATTCCTTAGCACACTTTGCATGCTCAGTTGCCTTCTGCATGTAACTCTTTTGCGCGACTGGACTATGACAGGGGCAGTCCAGCTTGCGTCACCAAGCACTGCAGCTGGTATCCAGAGCCTGACCTGCAACCAGTTTCTTAAGTCCCCCGAAAGGGTTATACTTGACTTGCTGCGGCTTGTGTCCTGCAGAGGGCTCAAGATTGGGAAAGAGGAATACTTCATAGCTCAGAATCCCCATGCAAATGCATCGCTAGACGACATAGCCTGTGAAATCATTCCAGCGCATCCACTTCCATCTGCGATGTACCTTCACTTTGCTTGTGGAAGCGATTCGATTTGCAATATTGTTTGCTATCTCCCTGTCAGTCAGGTGCTCGGCGCCCTAGAAGAACTTTGTCTCTCATTTTGCGCATTCGGCCGCGCACTCCCCTCTATTAACGGACTTCTCGGTGATCCTAGATGCCAAGTTCGGAGTCTGATGTTTGACTTCTCGCCCTACTGGGGCATCGACTTTATAATTGAGGCCCGGTCTCTGTTGACAGGCGCCCCACAGTGTGTGCCATCGGCTCTTGGCTCGCTCAGAACATTCACGCTAGTGACCGGACCCGCCACTGAGACCATCTGGGCAGCAAACTATATGGACAGTCGTCATGATTCCCTTCAACCCTGGAGCATGTTTTCGGACATCCTTTGCTCTCTTCCCCTCAATATCAAGGAACTACATATCGTAGCAGCTTGGGCATTTGAGCTGAACCTTGCTTCTCTGCGTGACACATGCAAGCGTCTCAGGAATCTCCACCGTCTAACAATGCACTCAAATATTTTGGATACTGCAAAGAAGGACGAAATCAGGCATGCATTGCCTGAGCTGGCCATGAGGGACACCCTTCATTTTGCTGCCCTTGCGGAAGAACCTGTACATAACAACGTTTGGTTAACTGCACCTTTGAGTCACTTTTTTTTTTTTCCTTTCAAAGAGTTTATAGTGCTACCAGCCCAATAGGCATTTGGTAATGTACACATAACATACTACTAAAATGCATAAAATAAGGGCCATAGAGTCCATTAAGGCAATGGCCATTAGAGTCCGAAGCAGTGAGCGACAATGAAAAATAGGAGAAGACCTTGGCCAACTTCCCTCCTGGGTTACTTCCAGGCTATATTAAAGTAAGAGGCGCTCTCTCAAGCATGGTTTCCATGTCAGTATGGACAGCATACAGCCCTCCTCTCTGCCCCCCCTTCCTCGGTACCTAGGCATTTAGCTGCTCATCTCCCACACACTGCCGGCCCCTCAGGTCTCTGACGTATCTGTAGTGACAGCCTGTCGTAGGCCCACCACAGGGAACCCCTCGAAAGAGATGTCGGTAGGAGGTGCAGGTAGGTATAACCCGGTGGGATTTGGTGCCATTCCACGAGGTAGGGGAGGGGGTGGAGGGTGGGTTATTGTGCTTCTCTGACAGACACTCACTGAACGCCCATCAGTTCAGTGTTATCTGATGTGTTTGGCCTCCATCCATCAAGGACGGAGGGCTTTTCTTGGTGAAATCCCTCTTGAAAGGATGGCGAAAGATGCAGAGAGAGCATCCTAGGGGTTATTAGGGGTAGTTGTTCGGTAGAATAAGGCCCTCGAGGGGGATCACCCGAAGGCGCCCAAGGGATGGTGGTGGTACGAGGGAGAGGCGCTGCCCGACCTCTGAGTCACTCGTCGCGGCTGCGTCGCAGCATCAGCGGTGTCAGGGATGTCAGCGGCGGCTCACTCAGAAGTAACCGTTAGGAGTAAATTACAGTTGGCGAGAACACAGGGTTTGAATTCAAGAATAGATAATAGCGGGTGCTCAGAGTGCACAAAACACTAGATATTCTCACTTTTTGTGTAGTGGCAGCAAATATTGCAGTCGAGTGTATTGTGGCAACTGAAGGCGAAGCGTGACACTTCTGGTGAGCAAGCGATCCGTGACATGATCTGGCAACTGTGATGTGTGATATCGAGACAGATAAGAAATGATTCTGATGACGTGTGACGTGTGATACCGCAGGGCACTTACTATCCGTAATGTAATCAGACCGTCCACACCGAGCACGAAACCACCATCTAGGCAAAACCTGCGAGATCACGCTGTCATGCACTACCGTATAGACACGATACAACTGCGGGGCCGAACTGCCCGCATGCATCCTTGGCAACCGGCGGAGCTGCCACGCAAAACCGAAGGACGCCGACTCGATGCGATCCTGTTCGTCTCTCCGAGGCTCCGAGTCCTACTTTCTGGATCCCTTGCTATTCTAGGAAATAAAACAAAGACGAAATTTCTCGACCTACGCGAGATTTGTAGCAGCGACGGCTCTTGCTGGCTGGGTTTGAGGATACCGTCATGTATTTACTATGGCGTGAGTGCATCAAAGCAGATGTTGTGATCCAAGCTGGGGATTCAGACAGGTTAAGACGTGTGGATACAGGCGAGCTGTCTTGTGTCTGATAACTTGCCGCCTTGTTTGTGCCCGTCCTGTGCCTCTGAGCAGTCTGGCCTGAGCGAAGGGCCTCCGGATAATAGTGGAGCTTGGCACAGCGAAGAACCACGCTGCGGCCACCATGCCTCCATCATAACAGAATGTGAGCACTTTGAAGTGGGTGTATATGATGAGCTAGAAAAGCGGATTAAAGTGTACAGGCCTCGAAGGAACTGCCTTATACTGACGTGCTGCTTCAAAATGGCTGTCTGTGCCCTTTCTGTGCCCCTGAACAACTTTTTGATCAAAGCAAAAAGCAAAGGAGGTTGGAACGATAAGTGAGTTGTAGGACGTGATCCCGACATAAAACGTGCCGATCTTCGTTCCCAATATTCGCGGAAGCAGATACTGACTTGGAGGATAATAAAAGGCAGGATCTTTGAATGCTCCTTATGCATCCACTCGTCCCGTGCTATGCTTCTTATCCTATTCAAGCTCCAAGATTCTAGCTTCAATTCTGGGCGTCGGATGGAAAGGAGGCCCGCATCTCTGCTGGCATTGCTGTGACGTGAACGCCAGGTGGCTCGGTCCAAGAAACCTTTGCAGGCAGTGCCTCGTAGAACAAGGAGCGACCCACCGCATCAGATACAGGCCAGGTGCCTATATCACAGGGAGAATCCCCATCTTACCACCTCGCTCATATCCCGCTGGGGACCCCGATCCTCCTCTTGTCCGCCGCCCGGTCGCAGAGTCAGCGCAGGCCGCCTAGGAAGGCATGCCTCCAAACGCGGCCCAGCGTGCCGACTCATATGAGGGCCCTTGGGTACCACAAGTCCTTTGTTAGTCCCCGAGTTTTCGTGGCGTGGCGTGCGTATGCGCGCGGCCATCCTGCCGGCGCGTTCAAGACGCCGAGTCGTCCGCGTTGGCGTTCTTCTCGGCGTGCATGTGCGGACTGGAGGAAGGAAGCTTCGCAGCCGTCATAGCTCGCCCGCCCGCCCGCCCGCCCGCCCGCCCGCCAGACGTCTTCAGCGCCGGCATCATTGCATTTCCAACACCCTCTCCGTGGCAGCCCATCTCTCCCCGTTCTTGTTGTTGTCGGCGAACGAGTTTGCGCGCGTGGCGCAGGTCGGAGAGCCGCAACATGTACGTCCTGTCTCGCAGGCTCACGGTCAACCTCACCGATCTCTCCTTCTTATCGCATGAGCGATGCCGGTGCGCCGCCCCCTGGGGGCTCAGTAGCGGGAGTTCATCGCGCGCATGTCCGTGGACGTGGACTTCTGAAGACTTCTGAATCATTGCAGAGACGCCCTTATGCAACGACGCGTCCTGGCAAACACGACAACCATCCGGCGTCTTGTTTCCTCCTTCGTCCTCGTAGCTGTGCGAACGAACTAGCCTACTATGGGCGTTTCTCGCTCCTCTTACTTTGCGCTGTATTACTAGCCAGTTCTTGCTTTGCATTGTCCGTATGTCGCGCTCATGGGCCCTTTACCGCTGCCAGCATGACACTCATAGCAACAGCGAATTTTTAACTGACTTCATGCCGTGAAGGCTACTTAGCCAGTCTCAAGAGTGTAATTCGAATCGGCTATGGGTCGTAGGACATATGTCAAAGGAGCAAGTACAACGGCATGTGATGCGCCGGTATGATATTGAATTAGCACGACACATGTATATTAAACAGATATTGTAGAAGAAAAAAAATTAAGAGCGTCTATGAGTTCATCTTGTTGAGGCGAAGAATAAAGAGTCTAGGGTATGTCCCAGTCCATAAGCATCGCGAATGTGACGCCACTGTCCAAAGTTCCTATAAATCAACGTGATGATCAAACAACAGATACCATCAGCTATACCAGAACGTGCAAATCAGCAAAGAGACCGCGGCAGAGGTCAGCCATGAGACGCACCAACAGTGTGAAAAATCCACCGCGAAAACTAGTGTGCTAACGCTCGGCGTTGTCCCCGCGCTGCCGCGCGCGCCACGCCTCCTGCTCTTCCCTGCTGAGGCTGCCCCAGTTCGCGAGGATCGCCTGTGCGGGCGAGCTGCAGCGCGGTGTCGGCGTCGTCGTTGCAGCGTTGTCCGTGTCATGCTGTGGCGTATCGCCGAGTAGTTCCAGGAATTCGTCACCGAGTATGTCCAGAAAACACATCTTGGGCACGTCCAGAGGCACCTCGTTTGGAGCCTCCAGGGAAAGAGCCTCGGCGGTCCGCGCAGTGCCGCTCGCCTCTGCGGGCGATGCGGCACGAGGTGTGTCTAGCAGAGCCGAGCCATCGTTCGAGTTTGTAAAGTTCGAGTCTGTGGACGTCTTTCCTAGTGTGGATGAGTCTGACACGGGTGTTGCGTTTGCGGTGGCGAAGGCGGGAGGGGTGGTGGGTGTATGCCTGGGCATGGTTTGGCAACGCGCTTTCATGCGAAAGCAGGCCCGACCGGTTTCAAAGCAATGTGCCTCGAGAATGAAACGTGCAGCCAGAAATGCAGAGAGGCGGCTGCCTTTACTCAGCCATAAATAACAGGTACGCGCAGAAGCACATCCCGCACGCCGCGAGTGCGCTGACACGAGCCGCAGGGGATCGCCATGCAAAGGAGCTGACGCAATGGTGCAAGGGCCCACACCTTAGAATAGCCCTGCTTGGGACTTAGACAAGGACGAACGGGTGCGCACGCTGCTTCTGCGTGCGCCGCGCACCGGCTTGGTAAATGGGCAGGCGCATACAGGACTCGCGACCCTTGGTGTTGAGTCATCGTCCAGCATGGCGAGCTCAGGGTCCCCGCGGGCTTTGTCGTCGTCTGTGCAAGCAGGTGGGGACCGAGGGGACGAAGGCAGGGGCGGGTTGGTAAGGCCTGAGTCAGGCCGTGAGAGACGTTCGTCATGCCGCGCGGCGGCAGTTGGTGTCGCCGCTAACGGCAGGCGGAACCTTCCGATCCTAACATGTGCAAATAGAGGCGCATCAGATGAGCGCTGTTCTGGCGCCTGTCTTGGTCTCATCTGTCGTTGCTGGCTTGTTACCGCCCTTGTGTTGTACCACCTGCTACTCGTTTGTAGAGCGTTTTCTATGCGCAAAGGGATAAAAGCAGGGAGGTCTAGCGGCGTGCAGTGCAGTGGGGCGGAGGAGCGGAAGCATTCGGCAAGATGAGACGTCGACCCCTGTTTCTTCCGGGCTGTGCGCGGGCACGGGCGTTGTTGCCTGCCACTATGTGCTGCGATGCGAATGTTGAAGCACAAGCGAATCGATCCAGGAGATTGCTGCACCCTCTGTCGCTTTCGCGGCGTGAGTTCCAATCTCTAGAACGATGATAGAGTACGACCAGTATGGGCGATGCTGAGATGATTTGAACATGTAGTATATAGGCTCGCTAGCTTATATCATAAATATATCCGTTCAAACGACGACACATTCCTCAAATGGACTGCGGTGCAGAGCACGGTCGTAAGCGGCAGGGCCGAATCACTGGCGCCAACGCGCAGCTGTGACGGCTTTGCTGAACACACTCCGTTCCTCGACCCTCTGACGCCCCGCATCTGTTTCACGACCCACCACTGCTGCCAACGACGACCGACGACCGAAAGCCAACTCATGCCACCATGCGCCCGCTCACGCTCCACGCGTCAGCACTGACCGACCCAGAATACTCGCTGTACACGACGGCACTCCTCGACCTCGCAGGCGAAGACACGTTCTCGCACCCTCACGACGATTCATACTACGCTGCACTGGTCGTCAGCGCACGCGAAACTCGCGCATGGATCCGAGGTCGCTACACCGAGCTCCAGCCTGCGCAGGTCGACGCCATCCTCAAGCTCTTCTGCCCAAACATCGCGCCGGCTGACACCCTCAGCGGTGGCCAATTCTTCGCTGCGCTCCGACTGGTGACACACATCAGGCATGGGAAGCCGTTGGATGGCGGATTGGTGTTCGTACAGGGTGAGTGTTATCTCTCCTTTTTGGCTCGGTGGCCCCCTAGCCCGACCGTTGCAACCTGCACATACGAGGACGAAGCTGCAAGATACCTCGAGAGGGGCCCCTCAGGCTGCGCGGCTTGCGACTGCAGCGTGGCCTCCCTCCAGCGCAGCCAGTCTGCTATCTTGCTTGCGCGGTGTACGGGTTGCATCTACCCCTCACCATGTCCTCCTGCGCACTATGCCCTACTCCATGCCCTTGGCGTGCCGTCATCTGCAGCTGCGGACCACGACGCCCCCCATACAGTTCGTCCACGCAGTAGTGCGGGTCCCTGTCGTCCGACAGTCTTCTATCTCTCTGCATAAGCAACCTCCGACATGCTCGGCCGAAGCTTGGTGCTCGGGCCGAACCAGTCACGACAACGTACCACCCATCTCGCATCCCTGTTGTTCTCCGACTCGCGCTCGGACGTTCATCTCACCTGGGCCATACCGTCGTCAGTGCATCGCAGCGCGCGAATGGCTGACCTGTGCGCCGCCTTCGTGATGCGAACAAGTCCGGATGAGGTATCATCGCAGGCAGCCCCGCCCTTTGTGCTTCGACTTTCTCAGGCTTTGACGCTGTGTATGGCCTTGTGCTTTCCTTGCAATAGCGTGGCATCACCCCCACTACGCCGATTCGTGTCCTTTTCGCTGTTTCTCGCCATCTTTCCTACATACCTTTGCTTTCTGTTTCGTCTTCTCTGTCCTGCAATCTTCAAGCGCGCTTTGCTAACTCCTCCACTTCTCACAGCACACCCAGACGATGCCGCCTCGCCACCGCTCCAGACCTCTTCCACCCCAGCACCACTGAAAGCCATCGTGACGGACTCACCCGTGCATTCACGAAACACATCGCGCGAGGGGCATCTGATTGACGACTCAGTACCATCGACGCCACCTGCATTGCCGCCAAAGCCTTTGTTGTCACCAACACCGAGTTCAAGCACAAACCCCTTCATCAACCGCACAAAGTCACGTGAACCGCCTACGCTCTCTACACCGTCTACGGCCACACCGACTCTGCCGCCAGCGCTCCGTGTCAAGTCTACACCAGCAGCAGCGGCACTGCAGCAGCCCGTAATCCCCCCTCTGCCGCCGCGAAAATCCATGTCCGCGCTGGTTGAGGAGAGGGGCAAGGCGCCGCCTCCGCCGCCCCCGCGGCCCAACACGCTCACGCCGAGCAACAGCAGTCCCTTCGCGTTCTGGCACAACCAGAACTCGGGGACGCCTACGAACCCGAACGTGCTCATCCAGCAGAGTCTCCAAGCGGGACGAATCGCACAGAGCCTCAAGGAGGCAGAGAAGAAGCTCGAGAAGGAGCGTGTGCTCGAGGTGCTCAAGTCCTCCGCGCCGTCGACGAACAGGGACTTTAGCAAGCGCACGCATAGCGAGAGCCCGAACAGGGGCGTCGCAGTCCTCGCGATCAGCGCGCCCGGCCCGAGCGCTATCTCGCGTAGCTATAGCGTGTCGAGCGGGAGCGACAGCTCGAGCGCGGAGCAGGCGAAACAGACGAAAGGTCCCGCGCTGCCCCCGCGGCGGCGCGTGAGCTCGCCGAACAGCGCGTGGAGCGGCCGCAGCGGACGCACCGAAGGCGGACGCTCCGTCATCAGCACGAGCAGCATGCGCGAGGTCGCGACCGCGAGCGTCGGGTCTCGCCGAACATCGTCGTCACGCGAGCGCCGCGCCGCCGCGAGCCCGCCGCCGGTCCACCCCGACCTCGTGCCGCAGCCGAGCCCCGTGCTGCCCGTCCTCCCCGCGCTCGCCGGCGAGAAGGGCCCGCCGCCGACGCACCCTGGCCGCAAGCCGCCGCCGCCGGTCCCAAGCGCGCCCGCGAGCGCGACGGGCGCGGTCTTCCCCGACGGGCCGGACCAGGACATGCCGACCAGCCCGGGACCGGGCGTCTTCCGGAGCCGGAGCCTGCACCAGCACCCGGTGAGCCCGAGCGTAGGCGGGGCGGGGACGCCGCTGCCGCCTCTGCCGCCGCCGCGCCCGCGCCCACGCCGGCGGCCGAACAGCGTGCAGTTCAGCCCGACGATCGCGAGCGTCACGAACGGGCTCGGCAGCCCGCGGCGCGCGCCGAGCCCGACGCTGACCGAGCGCACGGACCGCAGCGGGCGTTCCGTGAACACCGTCCTCTCCTCGCCCGCGTCGCTCCCGGCGCGCACCGCCGGCGCCTCGCGGCACCTGTCGCTCTCGCAGCAGCAGGGCGAAGGCGGCGCAGCGCGTGCGCGGCGCGCGGACTCGCTCTCGGGGCACGGTGTGCTGGCGAACGGCGGAGGACTCAAGGACGGCCTGCGTGACCGGTGGGAGAGCCTGCAGCCGCGGCTCGACAAAGCGCGCTGGAAGGCCGAGGCGGGGCTCAGCCGGCGCGGGTACGTGGCGCACCGCGGCAGCAGCGCGTGGCGCGACCGCGAGGGCGAGGCGCGCCTCGTCGACACCTCCGAAGAGGACGGCGAGGAGGACGAGGATGGCGGCGGTGGCGTGTTTGGGCGCCGTGGGACGGCGTATGGCGGGGAAGCGGCGGGCGACGCGCCGAGTGTGGACAGGGACTATCGTGCGAGCGATGACGATGAGGGGCACACGAGGAGCACGAGCGCGGCAGCGCTGCCGCGCCGCCCGTGGGAGGTCGAGCGCGACGAGATGAAGTGGCCTGTCGCGCCCGGCGAGGGGTGGACGCCGCTCTGAGCGACGGCAAACACGGCTGGCTGTCTGGGCTGCTACTGTATTCGCGGGGTATGGCTGGGTCCTATTTATGTATGATACTGGATGGCACTCGGGGCATTGAATCGATTAATGACTTTAGTATGATAGTGGAGGAGGATGAGGTGTTACAGATGTGGTATAGGATACAGGATATAAAATCTTTCCAGATGCTTTGCCATGTGCAATCTCCGTATCTCTGCGCCCGACGGCCCGACTCTGACCTCTCCCCACCCGGGGATGAGGACCCCTTGACACTGGTTGCCCTGTCGTACAAGCTTGAGTTAGACGACGAGCATCTGAGTTGACAGCACAGACATGGTACCGAACAGGAGCATTGCTTGTCATGCGTCACCCTGCGCCCTCGCACGCCACGCCTCCCGCTCCTCCTTCGACAGTGCTTTCCAGCGTGCTAGTATCTCTTCTGCAGGAGAGTCGCTGCAGTGTGTTAAAGGGCAGCAGCTTTGATGTGCTGGCTCTCCGTCTGCCAATGGCGAGTGCGGTGACGGCATAGGTGAGCTGCAGCATGTTGCAATACTCGTAGTAGAAGAGTGCGTCGGCATGTTCGAGCAATCGTTCACCTGAGCCTGCCTTTCGGCCGACAAGCTATATACGCAAGAGCGCATAGGCTGCTCCGTCCGGACACAAATTCATACCTCTTTGTCGAGCTGACAAAACCCCCTTCCAGACAGGATCGTACAGCGGGAAGGCCCTGTCAAAAGCCAGAGGAAAGGCACAGCTTCGCCGTATTACGTCCTGTTGCCCTGGAAACCGATGGCTCACTCACCTTGTTGTACAAAGACGCAGGTGTGGGCACGGATAGGAGGTGCGGTCTGAGCGTGGACGGACCGCTTTGGCATTGTCCGCGGAAGCTTTGGCAGCGCGGACCTTCTGAGCAATGGGGGCGTCTCGTCAGCACTGTCGTCAGCTTGTTCATTGTACGAGCAGTTCTCCGCGGGAGGTGAGTAAGGGGAGGGCAAGGGTGCGTCATGCATGACACGGCAGGCTGTCCGCGAAAGGAAGGCAAGGCCTTGGAATCCTAACAGTGACAAACAGGGGCGCGGGCCAGGGGCCTCATGCTCTCAGATCGCTACGCCGGCAAAGGATCAAACGCCTAATGCTCAGCCCATTGATGCTCAGCCATATTGCATGATTGTCGTTGATCGCACGGGACATCCTCTAGCGTGTGGGCGGGAACAGATAACGTCCAGTAAAGTATAGTCCCAAGAAAAAGAAAAAAATCAAGGTAACGTCGCGAAGCACCACTTCGTCTCCAAAGAGCTGCATATGTCGCCATTCCGCTATCGCTGCGCTCGCCCTGTTGTAAGACAATCATCGGCCTGAGCAATTGCGCTCGAAAAAAGTATAAAGCGCGAAGTCAGAGGCATCTGGTTGGCCCGAAATACTCCCTGAAATATTTTGCGACATTGCAGCATGGCAAGCCAGACGAAGATGAAAGCGGCGCCAGGCCTCAATTCGCACATCCCGCAGCAGGTCTCGGGGCCAGGGCAGCACCAGCTGTACATCCAACATCAACACAGTCCGGCGGGCCATAGTCCGACCCCGGGGTCGGTGAACGCATTCTACGCATCGCACGATGCAGGGAATGGGCTGAGCCACGAGCGCTATGAGCACCATAGCGGCGAGGTGCACCTTATCGGGAAGACGTATGACGAGATTGAAGCGGATTTGAAGGTGCGGGGGAAGGCAGATATGGAACAGTAGCAGGCTGGCGTGGTGTGGAAGGATGGAGAGGTCGAGGAGAGCAGAGCCGAGCAAGTGAAAGTCGCATTGGGGCACGATCATTGGTGTAGTGAACCTGCCGGGGCCTTAAAGTCGTGCATGCACATGTTAAAGGAATTGAAACTTGCCCAGCCACCTTCTCTTAAGATCAGCTTGAGTGGTGAAGGCTGTGCTATGTGCTATTGGGCTAGAGGGGGAAGTTTCATGTGCACTATCACTGATACACTCTCATCGTAGAACAAAAAGAAGGATAGAGCAACCTTCAGTCCGCCAGCATACAGGAGTATGAACATGGGAAAGGAAAGTACTCTTTCGTCTACTTCCTTTCCACAGCTCCCAGCGAAACCCAAAGTGACGCCCGTGCCGTACAGGACTTCGCAAATGGCGCCATTTCACACGTAAGAGACAGTAACGCTCGACTCAGAGACTGAGGCGGAAGTTACGAGCTGGTCATCCTGATAGATGTCCGTGAGGAACGCGCCTGAGGGGCCAACCGAGCCCGTGCTTGTGCCGGCGGACGCGTCGGTGAAGGTAACGGTGCCGAAGTTGGCAAAGGGCACCTGCGAGCCGTTTTCCTCGAAGTCCTCGATGATCCACTCGGCATCCTGCTGGCAGAGCGCAGAGTCCGACGTGAGAGCCCGTTGAACGGACTGATCCTTGCTGTTGTTCGTGATGACGACCGTGCCCGACGTCGTGCTCGATGCGGTAACGGTCAACGTGACGCTGTCGCCGGGGCTGAAGTTGATGTCCGTGAAGTTATATGCAGCCTCTGGGAACCACTCGTACCAGGCTAAAAGTACCAAAGGTAAGCATGTGCTCAACTGGGAAGGGAAATATGAGTCGACGCACCCTGGTAGGACACTTGGGTGCCGTCAACGGTGAAGTCAACGCCAGTTTGCAGGATGGCGCTCTGGCAAGTATCGCCGTCTATGCCGACCCAGGCAGCCGCAGAGTGCGTGCCAGAAGAGCCTGAGGGTTCCTGCGGTGTCGGAACCGTGAAAGTAGCGGTGACGCTCTTGTATGTTCCCTGCACGGGAGCCTGTTAGCACGCATATCGCACACCGACGCATGAAGGGGGGACACACTGCATCCGCATTCAAGATGGCGCCGGCCCAGTTAGGGCTGTACTCAGGATGGGTCTCGTTAGTGATCTTGGGGTGCGACGAGCGCAGGCTGCCGGCACGGCGAGCAACGCGGGCCTCGCGGCGCTCCTTGAAAGAGGGCAACGCGAACGCGCTCGTAGCGAGGAGAGCCTGGAAGAAGAGGGTGAATACGAGCATAGTGGCGCTAGTAGTATCAAGTCGAAGGAGCTGTGAGGCTGTCGACTCGAGAGAGGTTAGAGACTTGGACACTGGTAGCAGCAGCCGAGCATGATCTTATACACTGGAGGTGGGGTAGGAAGAAACTTTGCCATATGGTCACAATTGGAAATGAGATAGTGCCGCAAGAAACAGTCGCGCATGTCGGGGATAGCATATTCTCTCCCGGAGGGGAGAAGGGCTCCTCCTCTCAACAGCACGCATAGCTTGAAAGCATGCACAGTTCTGCTTCAATGTATGGAGTCTGGAGAAGAGTCTTATCGCGCGGAGCTACAAGCTTGCATCAGCGAACTGTATGCGGAATTCACTTTGTTCATATCTTAGCCAATCTTAGCCTACTTACATCGAGCTTGCACAAAATACTAGAGCCTCCACGCGTGCCAAAATGCCATCTGCTTTCTCCGAACTTGCAGATAATCAGCGAATGCAGTGACTAATGAGGGACAATATTAGCGTATAACGGCGACGCATGGCCGCGACCGGTCAATGTTGACGAACGATACATACTGGAAATAGCACGCGGCCATCGAATTGCCGTCCACCATATCGAAGACAAAGCCGTCAGAAGTGTTGATGGAGGCAATTTGAGCAACGACATCGCATGAGGGAGTACCGACCGCCCCGCGTGCTGCTGTAATGTGTTGTTCCACATCTCCGCATTTCTGGGGAGACTTATTTTGCGCTAACAAGAAATCTCACCTCGTCTGTCAATGCGCATTGCATCAGGCACTGCAGAACAGTTTAAGCGACGCAGTCCAGCTCGCATTTGTCACAAGAGTCTATTCATCTTATTCTTCCCTGCACCGTGAGAGCGACTCGATTTCACCTGTATGTTATCGCGTCTATGTGATGCATTGGCAGCATGACAGCCTGAGGCAAGGCATGAGATCCGGAAAAGATTATATCGCGCGCTGTTGTAAGATGTTGAGATGTTCGTTTTATAGATGCCGATAACTACGTTCTGACGGCTTATAGCGCAGAGGTAAGTATATAGCTCACCCGCGTCGTGGTTATGTCGCCCAATGATGTCATGAGCTCTGATGGCGGCCGGCATAAAGAGGAAGTTTCAATCGTGCTTCAGCATTGGGGTGGGTTCTTCAAACAAGACGGTGGAAGCAGTTAGCAGACAGTGTGCGACTGAAGCTTGAGTGAGCTGGGACACGGTCAAGGTCAGATCTGTGGCTTACCTTCAGAAATGTGAACCTCACATAGTCAACTGCGCATTGGGTGTGTATGAAGCGTCTGAGATCCTCACTTCCACCTGTCTTAAAACGCCGAACGAGCGTATCTGCTCGATATGTAGTGTTCCGACTCGACAGTCTGCCAGCTGACCTGAGCAGACATCCCTCGAGACGCTGAGCATCCATGAATCAAACTCAGCTAGCTCTAAATTCCGTACAGACCCCCTTAGATGCGAGACAAGTAGCGAGAAGAGTCGTGAATCCATGATGATGACCAGAAGAAACATGCGAGGCAGCGCACAAAACTTGCCGACGCGCCATCAATGTTTACGTTTATTGATGAACCTCAACGCCGCTTGATGCGCCTCGCCGCTCCCTTTCGAGGCTTCCACTTCCACCACTAAGTCTTCCTATTGGATCGGACCCTCCACAGTCATCTTCCGTGAGGACTAGCGTAAATAGCGAAGGCCACCATGTGATATGCTGTCGGCATCGTAGTCAAGAAGGTCCTGCGGGGAAAGTTCCACGTCTCATGGACTAACGAACAAGCACTACTACACTTTAATTTCCGAGAAATATATCAGAAGCATAGAACAACAGTCGGTGCGCCAACATGCAAATGTAGAAACAGTAGGATTAAATACTTCCCCAGACGACTTCCACTCTACCGCTCTCAAAATCCAAAGCTGACACTCGTTTCGCAGAGAGTTTCGCAACTCGTGCCGTTCTACACGTAAGAGACAGTGACGCTCGAGTCGGAGACTGAAGCAGAAGTCACAACCTGGTCGTTCAGCTCAATATCCCAGATGGTCGCGCCGGAGGGGCCAACCGAGCCCAAGCTCGTGCCAGCGGATGCGCCGGCGAAGGTGACGGTGCCGAAGTTGGCGAAAGGCACCTGCGATCCGTTCTGTTCGAAGTCCTCGACGATCCACTCCGCATCTTGCTGGCAGAGCTCGTAGCTCGACGAAACCGCCTGCGTCACGGACTGGCCATTGCTTTCGTTCGTGATGACGACCGTGCCCGATGTCGTGCTCGACGCGGTGACAGAGAGCGTGACGCTGTCGCCGGGGCTGATACTGATATCCGTGAAGTCGTATGAGGGTTCGGGGTACCACTCGTACCAGGCTATAAGAGTTGGAAGTGAGCGTGTGCTCGTTTGGGAAGGGGAACACGAGCGGACATACCCTCGTAAGACACCTGGCCGTCATCAATGGTGAACTCGATGCCAGTTTGTAGGATCGCATTCTGGCAGGTGTCGCCGTCGATACCAACCCAGGCAGCCGCGGAGTGCGAGCCAGAAGAACCCGAGGGCTCCTGCGGAGTCGGAACTGTGAACGTCGCAGTGACGCTCTTGTACGTGCCCTGCACGGAAGCCTGTCAGCACACACATCACACATAGGCACACGCAGGGAGAACGAACTGCATCTGAGCTCAAGACAGCACCAGCCCAGTTTGGGCTGTACTCCGTATAGGTCTCATTGGTGATTCTGGGATGTGACGACCGAACACCGCTAGCTCGGCGAGCGACGCGGGCCTCGTGGCGCTCCTTGAAGGAGGGTAGTGCGAAGGCTGTTGTGGTAAGGAGGGCCTGGACGAAGAGGGTAGAGACGAGCATGGTGGTGTCGAGTCGAAGGAGCTGTTGGGCTGTCGAGTCGAGAGAGGCTAGGGACCTGGAGACTGGTAGCAGCAGTTGGGCGTGCTCTTATACGCCGAGGGGGGGGGGCGTCCTCAGGTGCGTCCATGGTGCATCCTGGGGTGCAAACATGGGACGTCCTAGGATGCGCTTATGGAACATCCTGGGAAGCACTCATAAGTCATGATAGATGAAAGCTGATATCATAATGTTGAAACCGTTATGAGTTTGTGCATTCATAGGCCGAGGACGGCACAGGAAGATGCTTTGCCATAGCCATGAGCCGGCGCCATAAGCGATGGTCGTGCATGCCAAGATACAATGACTTCCATATACTTTTAACAGCATGTCCTGCGAAGGGAATTCTTCTAAGCTATGCGCACAGCTTGGAAGCACGCACCGCTCCACTTCGACCATATATGGAGTTCTAGAAGGTTGTGATATTAAGCGGGGCAACCTACAGGCGAAATTCGCTGTGCTCGCGTTGAAGCATACTTACATGACAACATCGATCCTGTGCAACAGGCTTCAGCCGCCGCACGTGTTCGAACGCCATCTTTTTCCTCCGAACTTCCAGACAACTAGCGAAAGCCATGACTGATAGAAGTTAATATCAGCGCGTAACAGCAACGCATGGATGTGATCAGCCAATGTCGACGGATGAGACGCATTGCCGACAGTACAAAGCTATCGAACCACATCAGACACAGCCACCGGGAGCGTGCCTGCGGAGGCGACTTACGCAGCGACATCGCATGAAGAGGCTGTCTGGTCTCGACTGCCACAGCTTGCGCTGCAGCACGTTGCCCCACATCTCAGCATCTTTGGGAAGGCTTGTTTTTACGTTTTCGAGAAGCCCCGCTCCGTCTGTCAATGTGCATCACATCAGGCACTGCCGAACAGTTTGAGTGGCGCGGTCTAGCTCACAATCGTTACGAGAATCGATTCATCTTCGTGCCCTTGATGTCCTTCTCAGTGTTATGGGAGCCGAAGAATCCCGCCCGTACATCGCCGCGCTGTCGTAACGCATAGCATGAATGAGACTATGCATCTAGCCTGGAAAAGATGCCGTACTTATATCCGGAAACGGTGTCGTGCACCTTCGCAGGACGTTGTATATCCTTTTTCCAGATGCCAATTACCACGTTCTGGCGGTATATGGCGTAGGGATACGTATATGGCTGTCGCCCACCTAAAATCGTTGTTATTTTGCCAAAGTCAAGCCAGCGTTCGTTGCACCGCACCATCCAAAGAGCTAGATGCAAAGGCTAGCGTGACATAGGCTTGTTCACCATAGCTACGATCACATAGTATGCCGACCAACAGCTGAAACGAGGCCATCGACCAGATGCGCATTGATTCATCATGTTCCTCGAACCTTGGGTGAGATAAGGAAGGTCAAAGGTCAAATCAGGGTGCAAGGGTCGCTGCTACGCACCTGTCCATCCGCTTTTACCCCACACTAAGTGCAGCTCTACAGCTTCTCCGGGATACGCCCTCTCCGAAGCTGTCCGCGCATGAGTTGCATGGCGGTCGACGTGGAGGCTACCCAGGCCCACAATGCAGGCGCTCTGCTATCAGCCCATCCTCTCTTTTCATCTTGCTTGAAAAGCAAGACGCAGGGTGGGCGTGACCCTGGCGAGGGGGGATTTCGAATACTGGTCAAGGCACCGCCTGGGGCTCCTGCGACAGATGCTGGCAGCGCCACAAAGGCCTCGCAAAATGCACGCAAACGACGCGAGAGAGCTAGCTCACACGCTGACGGCCATGACAGAGTGCCAATCCGATGTGGAAAGTTGGAGGCCATGCCTTGGGTGCGGATGAGGGCACTGGCCAACGAGACGGAGCGCCGATCCGACTGATGTGCCGGTGCGCCATCAGCATCACTTGATGCGCCTTGCCGCTCTGGTGTGCGACCGGGTTCGGAGGGTTTGACTTTTCCTCCACCAGATTGTACCCTCCGATCTCCCGCCATCTAATGGAAGATAAATTCCTGATGACACCTTTACGGTGGCATTCTCTGCCAATCATGACTGTCGCCGACCGGTCTTCGCGGACACGCCGATCTGCTAGAACGTGAGTAGACGAATTGAAATTTCATGTGCAGGGCCAAGGATCCGTGCAGACCACGCTTGCGAATCGGGAGAGAATCTTTAAGTTTTTTACCTGTGCATCTTATGCCCTCCCTGAACAGCCCGTATTCAGGCGGCGAGTCTTAGATTAATAGGTACTTCGTGAGACTCGGGGCCTGCCACCGCCACTGAACGCGGTGACCCTTGTTTCCAATCCTGGCGGGAATAGGGGCCAAAAATAATGCAGGAGATAAGGACACCGTCGGACATCCTCGCTTGCGGCGTGCCTTGTTTTCTCAATCATCAAATTCCAAATTTGTGCACCAGCCAGGAAATGCTCCACCGGATTTCGATTGCTGTCGCTGCCGTGACATGCGCATGAAGATAGCACAACACTACGGCTTCTCACGAGCTTAAAGGATGTGTCCCAAGCGCGTCACAAGAAGGTCTGTTTTGCGCAATTCCAGTTTTTGGCTGCTGCTCACTGGGAATCACCACGAAAGCTAGCGTTACAGCGCGTGCGTATCCGAGTGACGTTCTTGACAATGAGAGCGACAAGCAGACAAGCGGTATGGATGATGAGATTCCGGAGAAAGAGGGCGAAGAGGAGGCGAATAATGAGCTCGAGGTAGGTGGCTGATTCGCGACGCGTTTGTCATTGCTATATTGATCAACATCAGTACACTCTACGACGCGATGTCGTGTCGAGACGACGGAGAGAAAGAAGAAAACGGTATGCAGAAGATCAGGTCGAAGCCGACCCCGATGCGACGCGTTTGTTGATGATCAAGACTTCGAGAATAAGCCCTCTCGGACGTCGGTGATGGCTTCTCCAATGAGAGCGAGGCCCCGGGGAGGGGGGAGGGGCAACTAGCTGGCTGGGTTCGCCTTTTGGGTTTGCACCCCGATCTGTAGCAACGTGTGTCACCAATCCAGCTTCTGTCTTCTGCGCGACGCCTCTTGTATTTTTAATGCTTTATCTGTGCTTTTGCTATCACTGCGGCTTTGATCAGCGTCTTTGAGGGCCAAAATCCACAGCCAGCAATGTAAGCACTTGAGGACAACGACGACCGGCTACGCTGGCGGAAAGACCTTCAGGTCTTGCTCCCCAAGTTACAACACCGCCCCATATATAACACAACATTATTTGCGAAGTGTTTGAGAGGAGAGACTGATGAAGCTCAACTACTTCGCGGTCGGTGCCTGCCTTCTCAAATACAATTGGAACAATGAATGGCTTTCGTACTTGTTAAGCAGAGAATGACACTGCTCTTTTTATTTAAATCCTCTTCTCACATCTTTTTTGACCTGCATCATGAAGCCAATATTGATCAGATCCTGTTTAAGTCCATATCTTTAAGTTATGTTTTCCGACAGAAGGCGGCTGGAGAGCTACGGTGTGGGGTTCCTGGGGTCTCGCTTTTCTCGCAAGTATCGGGGTCCGGTCGCTAAGGGTGTCTTCTCTGCTCTCCCTTTCACAAATCCTCGCTGCGTCCTTCATTTCTGGCCTAGTGCCGGTACTCTGCGGGGCCTGCGGGAGAAGCAGTCTGCAGCGCTCGAACTTGTGCAGGTGAGCACGGCGGAACCGCGGGGTGCGTCCGAGTCCACGTCTTGGCGGTCGTAACAACTTGCCATGGGACCTACGAAGGCTAATAATAGCCGGGCTATACTCACGCGCTAGGATGTTTTCTTTGAATTTAAGGACAAGCTTATGTCACGAAGGCTGTCATGTGGTCTGTTATCGGTACCGCAGTCGCGCAGATCCTACGGAAGTTCGACGTGCGAATCAGCTGCGAACAAACTCTATCACAGTCCATTTAACGAGAGATATACAGCAGATACACAATGAGAATTGGTCCCGCTGGCATGCGGAGACATACATACAGCCCAATCATATACTCCTCTAGACCTCTTCTGCTCCAGACTCTCCAAAGTCCCAAACTGTAGCACGCAAAGACATACATGCAGCCAAACTACATCTCGTGGAGGTTTCCGAATCCGAAGACCGATGTCTATTTCGCACGCATGCGTCGGTCTAGACGTAGGAGACGGTGACGCTCGAATCAGAGACCGTAACAGACGTCAGGACCTGGTTGCCCTGCTCGATGTCCATGATGGTCGCGCCCGAGGGGCCAACCGAGCCCGAGCTCGTGCCGGCAGACGCGCCGGTGAAGGTGACGGTGCCGAAGTCGGCGAAGGGCACGAGGGAGTCGCCCTCCTCGAAGTCCTCGACGATCCACTCCGCGTCCTGCTGGCACAGCGCGAGGGTCGACGAGACGGGCTGTGTGACGGTCTGGTTGTTGCTGTTGTTGGTGACGACGACGGTGCCCGACGTCGTGCTCGACGCGGTGACGGTGATCGTGACGCTGTCGCCGGCCTTGAAGCTGAGAGAATCGAAATCGTAGGACGGCGCGGGGTACCACTCGTACCAAGCTAAAGGGTACCGGGGTGAGTGTGTGTGCTTGGCTGGGGAGAGAAACGTGGGGGTGGACGTACCCTGGTAGGTCACCTCGCCGCCTTCGACGGTGAAGTCAACGCCGGTCTGCAGAATGGCGTTCTCACAGGTGTCGCCGTCGATGCCAACCCAGGCAGCCGCAGCGTACGAGCCGGACGAGCCAGACGAGCCAGACGAGCCAGACCCGCCAGACCCGCCAGACCCGCCAGAAGAGCCGGACCTGCCAGATCCGCCAGATCCGCCAGACCTGCCAGACCCGTCAGACCCGCCAGACGAGCCCGAGGGCGCCTTCGGCGTCGGGAGCGTGAACGTCGCGGCGACGCTCTGGTATGTGCCCTGCGCGGTAGCAGTTTGTCAGCACACGTTCAGCACATGTACGCGCTCAGGAAACACGCACCGCATCCGCACTCAGGGCGGCGCCGGCCCAGTTCTGGCTGTATTGGGGGCTGGAGTCGTTGGCCATCTTTGGGTGCGACGACCGCAGACCGCCAGCCCGGCGGGTGAGGCGGGCCTCGTGACGCGCCTTGGAGGAGGGCAGCGCGAACGCGCTCGCGGCGAGGAGAGTCTGGACGAAGAGGGTGGAGAAAAGCATGATGGTGCTGGTAGTGTCGAGTCGAAGGAGCTGTTGGGGCTGTCGAGTCGAGAAAGGCTAGGGACCTGGAGACTGGCAGCAGCAGCCGAGCGTGCTTTTATACGCTGGGGACATCGCGCGAAGCAGTTGCACGCAACGACAGCCGACGGCTGGTATCAAGGTGTTGGGGAGCTTTGCAAGCTTGCTCTCGCATAGGCGGGAGGCGAGGTAGGGAGGCGCCTGGTCAGGGTTACGATGGGGCTCCAAGCGCCAGAGCCGGCACTGGAAATGCGGTTATGCATAACATCAGGACGTGATTTTTCCTGATGATTAGAACTGCATGTTGAGCTGCGAACTCTGTGCGTTGATTTCGCGTTGGCTCTTTTGGAAGAGCTTCTTCCCGGCGGCACGCACAGCCTGAAAGTACACACAACACCACTTCGACGCAAAAATCATCCGCGCTTGCCTCTGTGATCGTCTTATCATGTGGAGCTACAAGGTTCTGTCAGCGACTCATGTACGGAACCCGCCGGACTCGTACTATCGCCTACTTACACTCAGCCTTACGACCAGTTGTGATCTGAGCACATGCCCGAAAGTCATATGTTTTCTCCGAGCTTACAGACAGCCAGTGGATACTATGACCAATGGAAGGCAATATCAGCGAGTGCCGGCCACGCATATTCTATCAATGCAGCCGACCAGTGCCGGCAGATGTGAAGCACTGCAACGGCACGAGGTCATCAGCTATATCAGAGACCAAACAGCCGAGAGTGCCGACGAGAGCGACTTACACAACAGTAATATCGTATGAAAGGAGTTGTTCGGTTTCCACTGCCGCGCCCTGTACTACAGCATACTCGTCCAACATCTCTCCATTTCTGAGAAGACCAACAGAAGCTCGGGTGCATTGGCGAGAAGTGCTCTCCCGTCTCGTCAGTCGACGTGTACTGCACCAGGCGGCGACGAACAGCCCGAGAACCGCGATCGAGCTCGCATCCGTCACAAAAGCTGATTCATCTCCGTGCCCCAAATGTCTCCTACCAGCGTCACGAGAGCGGGACTGCCTTGTCTACGCCTTCGCGTCCTATTGAGATGCCGCATGGGAGACGCGGCAGGGGGATGAACGAGACCACGCGTCTGGACAAGGGCGCCATGCATCCGGAAACGCAAGTGTCATGCATCCCTGGTGAAATGTCGTATGAGTCCTTGTGCCAACTTGAGGACGCCAGCGTGGGCCATGTCTTGGCACAGTGCTCACCACGCGGCTGCCGCCTGCCCGAATTGTGGTGTATCGCCGCCAGGGTTCAACATTCAGCTCACTTGTTGGGCATTTGGCAGGCCCCACGCCCATGGATCCGCCGAGGTCGCATCCGCACCGCGCCGTCCGGGGGCCACATGCGCCGGGCGCGCGGGGCTGGCACGGCACAGCCTTGGTCACAACGGCAACGGGCTACCGGGCGCATGCCGACCAACACCTGGGGTGAGGCTACCGAGCAGTCGTGCCATCTGCTGTATGCGTGTGCCGAGCTGTGAGCGAGATGAGATGGATCAGCGGCCAGGTCGGGCTGCGAGGGGTTGCTGCTACGCACCTCTCGACTCCCTTTATTCTAACCCAGGTCCAGCCCTACGACTACTCTAGGATACGGTGTCTTCAAGGCGCCGTGCGCGTAAGGTGGTCGAGGTGGAGACTAACTTGGGCCCTCGCGTTGCTGACAGGCCAAGCTGCCAGATTATCCGTCGCCGAGCTTTCTCCCCCTCCTCGGGCCAACTGCGTCTCGTCCTAGCCAGGACCGCACATCGTCGGCGGTAGCAATGATGGTGGTAAGCGGTGTTGATGTTGGCGGCAGAGGTGGGGAGTAAGATGCAGGGCTGGGGACCGAGCCACAGACGAGACAGCCTGTGTGTGGGAGGAGCCCACGGCGCGGGCGCTGTTGCATTTGCCGAGCCCGGACCCCGGACAAGACGCTTGGCGGCTGAGCCAGGCAGCCCTGCGAGGGACAGCCGGAAAACGCCACAAAGGCTTCGCTAGCACTCGTAGGCGGCCTGCCGAGCTGGTGCCATGGAAGCTGTAGGCCAGTGCGCTCTGGGGGGAGGTTGAGCTTACCAAGGGCATGGGTCGACCTGTTACTTCCGCGAAGTGCTTCACTATGACGAACGTAGTACGAAGAGACGCAGTTTTTTTTATGTGAAGAGAGTAACGGCTATGGTTCTTCCAGCACAGGTACCGAAGCTCTATGCACGAGCCATCGAATTAAAATTCGAAGGCGCAACTGTACGCTGCTGTAGGACGCCAAGCTATAACCCTCATACTTTCCCGCGCGTCATACGACGCTTGCTTTTTCATTCACAAAATGTTTCAATTATTTAGGCCACCAACGGCACATAAAGAATCCTCATTTCGAAACGCTGGCGATGGAACAGCGGCAGAGCACGACAAGCCGGAACGTCCGCGCCTCGACGGGCCGCAATTTCAGCGTGTCTGTGCGCACGATTGGGACCATGAAATCTGCGGGGCGCCGCAGTCCGACCGGTGTCCGTGCGCGATATCGCGAAAATGGGCATGGTCGAGCGACTTGCAGAAGCGGTCGTGGTGCCAAGCAGGCGGAGAAGACAAAACTCCTGAGGACCCGAGCATGTGGAGGATGTATCCCCACGTGCGCCGACTAACGGTCTAGACTGGCACCCCTGGACTTGTTTGATTGACTGAGGACCTTCCTCTCCGGCTTACGCGTCGCTGGAGTTGCCCACGGAATGACGCATGTGAGGCATGAGCAAGAAGCGGATCGTCGGTAGGATGTGTAGTCTCAGGAGCCGGTCTCCGAAGACGACCCTCCAAATATGGAAGTCTCTCTGGGACCGGTTCTCAAATCTGCACTAAAGGGACCCGAACAGGAGTTGAACCTGTGGTCTCAGGTAATTAGCCCGCGGACTTACCGATCCCAGGGAGCGTCACCAAGTTCGAACCACATTTCGAGATGTAGGACAAAAAACTCAGCTTTCTTCGGCTGTTCTATGCCCTTGGAATGCTGGACCGAATTTGACAAAAGGCAAGTGCCTGGCAACCATCCGTGAACTTGAATGCGTATTCTATGTTCGGATTTATTCGAGAATCGTCCGCTGTTCGCTACTTCTCACCCTGGCTCTACTAGACGACTCAGCAGCTATTAGGAGGAAGGTACTTGCAGAGCAGCGGCGTGATGTTGTAGTCTCTGCGTGATGGCAGAAGACGAAGCTCTTACCCGAGCCTTGGCATGCGGCAGCGATCGGATCAGCGCCACAAAGGCCGCCGGCTTCCGATATCTTCCGATCATAGCAACGCAGATTCGCGCGAAAGCAAACTTTGCTTCGACCAGCCCACTCTAAGATGAAGACTAGGGCAAGAAGACATGTTGCGCAGCAAGGCGCTGGGGTCAGGACCAGACAACCCCCTCGTACGACATCCTTGCGCAAGCTGCCCCCATCGGTACTCTCGGCAGATTCGTCTCTGATATGGTCGATGCCTGGGTGGACTCGTGTCGCCTGCGATGCTTCCATCCATCGACGCCGGCCGGCAGCGATATTGGACCATGCGTAGCTTCATTGCTGATGCTGCTCTTCATTCGTCATTGCACCTGCCGGCCGTCTGGAAATCCCGAGAAGGCACATGACGCGGAATGATGAGGCGATGTCGTGCAGGCTCGTCGTAAGCAGGTTAGAGGACAAGGAAAGGGGACTCTGCACATGGATAGCTGACGTGACCCCGAAGGTTCTGCAAGATAAGACGAACATGAACAGGCCAGCGAGGATTCTCCATGTGTCTAAGTTCGCTTCCTGCGCGCTTCCGGGAGCGCGTGCTGCCGGGGCGAAGCTTTCCAGACGAACAATCGAACCACATAGTCTGCAACGCAATATCGGAGAACATGCTGCAATGGTCATGTGAAAGATATCAAGATACACCCATCACGCGGCCGGTCGCGACCTCCACTTGTGGCGTCGGCTCCGGCGCCTCAACCCATAACCATGACTTGACGGCATCTTGCCTCGCTTGCAGCCCATGCGTGCGCGAACTCGCGAAGCTCCTTACCCCATGATGCACCCGAGGATTATCATGGCCTGCAGCTGCTTTCTCGGCAGGCCTCCGACGTATAAAGACTCCCCCGACTGCTGCTGCCATTCCTCAGGTCCCTCGCCTCCCTCGACTCGACAGCCTCACAGCACCTTCGACTCGACAGCACCTGCACCACCATGTTCGTCTCTACCCTCTTCATCCAGGCTCTCCTCGCCGCGACTGCCCTTGCGCTGCCGTCCTCCACGGAGCGCCACGACACCCGCCTCGCCCGTCGTGCCCGCGGCCTGCGCTCGTCGCACCCCAAGATCACCAACGAGACTCACACCGAGTACAGCGAGAACTGGGCCGGCGCCGTCTTGAACTCGGGCGCGGTGCGTCTTCGCTTCTGTCCCTGAGCGGCGTGTGTGCGCGTGCTGACAGGCTCGGGTTTCTGCACAGGACACGTACAAGAGCGTCACCGCGACGTTTACGATCCCGACGCCGAAGGAGCCCTCGGGCTCGTCTGGCTCGCACGCTGCATCCGCCTGGGTCGGCATCGATGGCGACACCTGCGACACCGCCATCCTCCAGACCGGCCTCGACTTCACCATCGATGGCGGCGAGGTGTCCTTTGACGGTCAGTCCCGCGCTCACATCTCCTCCGCGCCGACACGCTGATGGCATCCGCAGCCTGGTATGAGTGGTACCCGGACTACGCGTACGACTTCTCGGGGATCAGCTTCAGCGTCGGCGACAGCGTCACGCTGACGGTGACCGCGTCGAGCACGACGTCGGGCACGGCCGTCATCACGAACAACAGCAAGGGCAAGACCGTCACGCAGAAGATCACGTCCGGGAGCGCGCTCTGCGAGCAGGACGCGGAGTGGATCGTCGAGGACTTCGAGGAGGGCGACTCGCTCGTGCCCCTCGCCAACTTCGGCACCGTCACCTTCACCGGCGCGTCCGCCAAGACCGGCTCCGGCTCCGTTGGCCCCTCGGGCGCGAACACGATCGACATCCAGCAGGGCAACAGCGTGCTGACGTCCGTCTCGACCTCGGGATCGAGCGTCACCGTCTCCTACACGTAAGGCGGCGAAAAGGGTGTGGGGGCTTCTGTTGGAAGCAGGGAGCTGGAAGGGGGAAAGGAAGTGGTTTGGAAGTGTACGATATTGACTGTATTCCCCGCGCTAGAGGGGCCGACGCTTGTTGTGCACCTTTTGTATCGCTCTCGGAGATTGGAACGTAATTGTGCTTGTGGATTAGGCTGTCCCGCAAGGACTTGACCTGCAGATACTTCGCGAGCGAGCCTGTCTACCGGGGACACACCACATATACCAACACCGAGCACACTCATAGTGTGAAACTCAAGTGGCCCTTAAGCTGTCTGAGGACACTTGGTTCTGATTTGCGATGTGCAACAAGGATGAACGTCACGTGTTCGTGACGCCCGTAGACTCAAACTTGCCATGGTCCTTTGATCCTTCATCTCGAGCTACACAGAGACCATCTTGCTCCCTTCTTCGCTTACTGCTTGGTCTACTTGCACGATGCGATTGCCAGGCTCAGCGCGATGCTGCTGCACCTTTCGGCGCCGTGCTTGCTCTTGCGGCCAGCTGGCCGGACACAGCGCGAAAGACGAGCCGCCAAGTGTGGCACAGAGAAGCCAGCCAGAAAGCCTGGATGCTGCGAGAAGTGGTGCCTTGATGGCATAAGCTCTGATATACATACAGTGCAAAGCAGGACATAAGTAATAATACAGCGCGTAACGGGAAATTCCTGAAGACATACGGCACGCAAGGCGCCTCAAGCTTCAAAGATCACAAGTAAAACTGCAGAGGTGGAAGGAACAGGACACTTGGTGGTCGTCGCGCCTGGAAGACGCCGTCGTTGGTTGATGGTGGCGAAAATTCAGAAGTCTCTCCAAAAATTCATGTCTTCGAAGATGCGCTCAATAAACTCTCGCAAGGCGCGCTCTTGCTCTGTCTCCGCTCTCTTGGGCTGCGCGCTGCCGCCAAGGGACATGCTCGCGAGATCAGCTGCCAGTACATCTGCGCTGTTCGCACGCTGGCAAAGCAGAATCATCAGTGAGGCGGGCTGTAAACGAGTGGAGCAGGACGTACACGTTGTTCCTCGAGTTGCACTGCGCAGTCATACTCGTGGACGTACTGCACAAATTCGTCTGTAGATGAGAACAGGAACGTAGGGAGACGGGAGGCCATGATGAGCGCGTTAGGGGTGTAGCGGTGCTGAAGATGTCTGACGAGAGGGTTGGAGGAGGTTGGGCTGTTCACTCGTTTAAGGGAGGATGTAGAGGTACGAAAAACGTGGGGTGTTGGAACCTCTCGTCCCCGCCCGCCGTTTTAAACCTCTCGTCCTTCGCAGAGACCCCGACGACAGCATCGTTATCGCCCTTCGCCCTGATCAATTAGCACGAACACGTTGCAGGGCCCTTCCCTCGCACTATCACTCATGCGTCTTTCTTTTCGGCTGCGCGCGCACAGATCGAGAAGAACGCTGGTGCGGTCTAGTTCAAACTGCGGCAGGGATGCCGCGCCCCGCAAAGTGGAGACCAAACAAAGGGCTTGTATGGTAGAGGCCCCGTATGCATCAACACGCGTTCGCTAGCCCATGTTTGAGGGTCGCTCCCTCCCACGCGTCTGGCGGGCAGTGACTCTTCGAAAGTCTTCGAAGGAAGAATGACTAGGATGTGATCGCGATCGCGTGCAGGGTTCGGGCACCAGGCGTGCGATGAAGGTATTATCCGCCGTGACAGGAATATGTCCCGTGTCTGATGCGTGCGCTGCGTCCTGTCTGACGAGGGATCGAAGTCTGAGAGTGTCTGTGTCACTACTCCTTGCGAAGATCGCCGGGAGCGAAGAACCTGTTTCACGGCAGTAACAGCAAGTCCGCAGAGAACTTTCTCCTTGATGCGCGAATTGGTTTGGTTAGTGAAATTCGAAGTTTTGGAGGAACAAGACACTGATGCTGCGAGCGGAGACGCCCACAGGGTCCTCTCATCGTTTGCATTATCCTCGGCATCTACTCCCGCGGAGTCAGAATCACGGATCAGCGCGTTTTGTCGCGGCATCTGGTCTCACGATGCGCATGATATTCCAAGACTCCTCGCTTGGAACGGGTTGCTACTGGGCTGCTCGGCGGAATCACAGGAAGAGCGAAGGCGGCCAACTTGAAAATAGTGCGTCATGAATCTTCCGCTCTTCCAGACTCGCATGCTTGATCGACTCAGATCCTCGGCCCAATCTATTTGATCTACATGCGCTCTAGCACATCGACAGCATCCCCGACGAAGGTGATCGGTAGCTGTCAAATATATGGTACGCTCTGGGCGGTCGAGAATGTTATTGCGGAAGAGACATCAGACAATTATCTTCCATGGAACCGTGGGGAATCTTGAGAGTAAAGCTTGGTGGAAGTAGTAGTCAGACCCTCGGAGGTCGAACAGGGCCGAACTCCGAGGGCGGCAAGGCGCATCAAAAAACGTTGATGGCGCATCAACATGTTTTGTGCGCTGCCTCACATGTTTCTCCCGGTCACCATCACGGTCTACAGCCCTTTCCCGCTATTTTATCATGTGCCTGTGGGAGCCCGTGTAGCATGAATGCCCGGTGTTTGCGCTGGGATTGCGCTGGGATTGAGGGTTAATACTTGCCGGTCATGCCAGAGGAGCGTCTGTCCAGGCCTGCAGGCCGGCCGTCAAATTGTTAAGCACGTCGAGCAGATACGCTCTGTTAGCATCTCAACACATGTGAAGTGCAGATCACAGACGCTTCATGCAACCCAGTGCGCAGCTGGCTACACGAGGTTCATGGTGAGTCACAAGTTCGATAACCTCGAACCTTGACTGTGCCGCAGCTCACTCCAGTCGTACATATACTGTCCACCAGCTGCTTCCACTGTCTTATCTACAGACATCGCTACATATCTGAAACCATGGTTGAAATCTCTTACGTGTCGGACTTACCCGCCCTATATCTGTACCCCCTCAACGGCTCCTTCGCGCCAAAGTGCATCTCTCTAGCCGACAGAGTTCATATTGTTATTGGACGCCACACCAACATCAAAACCGTACCTACGAGAGAGAACGGACGATTTTCGTCGAAGGTGCTGTCCAGGATGCACGCAGAAGTGTGGGCAGAGGGCGGCAAGGTGCGTCCGGATAATCCAGTTTCCCGCACAATTACTATCTTTTCACTTGTTGCTTTCTGGAGAAGAGATGTTACTGAGATATTATATCAGATCTTCGCCAGAGACACCCAGAGTTCTAACGGTACATATCTCAATGGAACCAGACTCAGCCCTGAAGGCAAGGCATCGCCGCACGCCGAACTGCACACGGGTGACGAGGTGGCAAGTACCATTCTAGTGATTGGAAAAGCGACATCTACTTATTGGTGTTGCAGGTCCTCGGTATTGATGTTTTCGGTAGAGATAACGTTACTATATGCCATCACAAAGTTGCCGCTCGAGTAGTCTGCGCTTTCACTGAGCAGGACGCACACGCTGCAGAGCTTCCTCCATCCGTTAGGAACGGCCTTCTAGGCGACATCGACGGGGCGGGCCTCAGGGCTGCGCTGTAACTAGACGGCATATCACGTTGTCTGTAACTACATGTGTCGCAGCAGAAACCTTTGAAATCGGACCCTTCCAATGACATTATACTAAAAAGCATGGATGGCACTTGATCTCGGAAGCCTTGCTAGAGCATGCCAGCCCTATATGTCTTTTCATTTGTCGTCGATCTTTGAGACGCAGCGACCCACATTGTGATCTCTGGTGGCGACCGATTCCTATCCGGTCGCTGTTCGTAGGGACAGGATGAAACAACGTGCCGCGAGTGAGTGCGAGATCTGACCAAAGCTCTCTTGGAGTGTCTACAGAGGAACAAAACCCACGGAAATATTATCTTTATGTAGACATGGTGCACCCGGCTCGAGCTCCAAGTGCCCCCGGCCTCTGTAAGGGGCCACTTGTGATGTCAATGTCGGTATTTCCCCAGGAAGAGTACAAAGTCGCCGCCGTAAATCGTGCTCGGCTTGAAGTTGATGACGGTTTTTCAGCAGGTGGAGACAAATACGCACGGGACCATTATGTAAGAGACTTTATCGAGTCATCGAAAAGTTCATTTGCTATTCTCCCATTTTATGACTGATCCATAGTCGTCGAGTACTGCAATACTACTAGTACATTCGTGATATCATTGTGAAAGAGTGGATCACCATATAAACGGCCAGTCATCAAGCGATATTCGTACAAAGCTGAATCGCTGCTGGTGCGTATTCCGTCGCGTCAGAACTTGGGCCGCTGCGGGACGCTCACGAAACGCTGACGTGCGCCGAGACGACTGCGCAGTCTGCGCAAGGCTCAGGGACTCTTATGGACGGCTGAGGCCGGAGGGCCATATTCGTGTCGGGCACCATATCCAGCAGAAAGAGTTCGTCATCTCCGTATCTGTCTGGCTCACACAGACATCTCGTTATGGGAATTGCGGGGCCCAAGGTCGCGATCCTCCTGCGGATTGACCAAGCCTGGTCCATGACATCGGCAGGCTCTAGCGTGACGTCCTCGTAGAAGTAGAGCTTGCTGGCGTCCGTCTCTTCGTGAATCCTGATGATCGGCTGGGTGCAGGCGACAACGCCATGACAATTCGCCCTGGCTCCTAGGGCTGTTGCATCTTCAGTTAAGGCATGCGAAGTCATGTGCTCGTTTGGCCCGATGGGTAGAATACGATTACAATCATCGAGCTTCGCAGACATCTATCGAATATACACGTACGATTAGCGCGACCCAGCCTGACAGTAGTGGATTATACGTACCGCAATTGACATGCTGTTTGGGACAAGCGGCCTGTTCTCTTCGTTGACGACCTCCCGTTCGCCAGTGGCCCTGAGGCCTTTGTGGCCTGTCGAGCGTCCTCTTTCCCGCCCTCTGCGCGACTTTCCCTGCCTGATCGGTCTTGTGATACAAGGATCTGCATCGGTGGACCTGTTGACCTTCGATGCTCGACGTGGCATCTCGTGAAACTGGGCAGCGGGAAGATGATGCGCAGAACGAAACGAAAATGGTGGATGCTCGTCGGGCGCGACACCGCGAGCTATGTCGCTGAAAGAGAGGAAGAATTGAGAGCTGACTCTACAGTTCTTATACTTACAGCGCGAGAGAGATATGCCGTCTGAGTGAGACATGAGGCCGCGCATCAGGACTTATCCGAAAGTAGCTCCGAGCCACAAAGGCCCATGGAAGCTCATCAATGATTGTCGGCGGGGATATAAGCAAACAAAGGCACGTTAGACGTAGCGCGAGGCGTGGCCACCGGTGTTGTCCTCGGAGCTGATTCAGTTCGGCGGCCTAGACACGGGAACTTATTAAGTTACACCGGACTAGCCACTCAGAAGCGCCCATGAGTGGCTAAGACACTGAAAAGCCCAAAAAATGGCACGGGCAGGAATCGAACCCACAGCCTGAAAGTAACCACAGCGCGTTATACCACTAAGGCATAAGACCTTACAAACATTGGGTTGGAATTGGCCTATAATACCACTTTTCCACCTTAGTCTTAGCTGCCCAAAGTCATATTAGCTGATTATTAGGTATTAAAGCAATGAAATGTAATTGTACAAAGGTGTATTCTGATGTTATGGCTAAGACACTGGTGTGGCTAAGACACCAGCATGGCTAAGACATTGAGATATTAAATATCTGCTATTGATTCTGCTTATTGTACATATGTATATTCTAATGGCATGGTTAAGCACC